AGTTTTTTTAGAGATCATTAAGTTATATGAATATTCAATATTCTTAAACATAAAATATATTATAAAAATGAATCAATTTTTGTATGCAATGAAAACCTTTATATTGTTTATCGATTCTTTTGACTGTTGTTTTTGATGACCTTTTCTCAACTCATTATCATTGACTTTGAATTCATCGCCAGATTTGGCCGTATTTTCATCGATTTCGCTTAAATTGGTCTCATTTCTTGATAATCGGTTATAATTTTTGTTTTCTCTACGATTTCTCTTATTCAGTGATAACTTATTTGATATGAAAACTTGTTGACCATTGAGTTTATTGTTGTTGTTGTTGCTGTTATTGGCGCCAATTATATCTGAATTGCATGTTTGACACCGAGCTCTTGAGTTGTTTGATTTTAAATCACTTTTTACTTTCATTGGACTCGTATGACATTTACCAATCTTGTCGATACACTCTTTCATTTCGCTGTCATATTTGTTGCAATTGGTGTCCCCAATGACCGGATGTTTAACATTAGGTGTCGGTCTTTCTAACTTTTTGGTCCGCGGTCTTTCTGCTTTATCCATTAAAAAATTATTATTATATTAACTGTATTATTAAAATATTTTATAATTATATGACTATATAGTAGTAGTAGTAGTAGTATAATTAAAATGTCAATAAATTTAAAAAGCAATTAAGATATTGAAGTAATTTTTAAACTTTTTTCTTCTAATGAATAAAATAGTTAAAATAGTTTTTCGCAAACAATGACAAGAATTTTGCACAATATATATAAAAATATGTTTTTTTTGTTAAAATAATATTAACACTAAATCACTTTCTACAGGAATAATATTATTTATTACATTAGATGTGTAGTAATGATAATAATATAATTAAAATATGTAAGAATTCAAAGAATTGGAGATTTGTTTTTTATTATACAATTAGAATATAATTACTATTGTTGTTATTATAGTTATATAGTTTATGTTTTATTATTATATATATAAAAAATTCTAATCACAAAATTGCTAACAAATTCTGTAAATTCTGTTAAAAATAATAAATCGTTTTTTAACAATAAATGTATTATTATTATTATTGTTATTATTTTATGAATAGTCTATCACACAAACAAACGCACACTAAAGTGATACATAGTTATTAAGCATTACTTTATATAATGATATTATTATATCAATATTATTCAAAATATATATAAATTTATTGAAATTAATAATAAAATTTCGATTTTCCAATTGGTCTCCACAGAAACTAATTTGCATTTACCCTAACATTGGTTACAAAAAAACATTACCATTTAGTTAGTGTGTAATACACTGTGTATGCGCTCTCAACCAATGTTAAGGTCGAGTGCAGGTATTTTTTGCGGTGACTTTATTTTTAATGGGACAACCATTGATTGAATCATTAGTCTAATGAGATTTACAATATAATGTTATATAAATTTATGTTATATATACAGTATATAACATATTATAAAACTGTTATGTTATATAAGTCAATCAAATTAAATTATCTTTTATTTCGTAATATATTGATATTATAAAAAAATACATACAATGATTAACATTCATTTGAATAAATTATTATTTTTAACACTTAATTGTTATGGTTTATCGTATAGTGAAATTAATGACTTTTTCTATTGCAGTTTTAATGTGAATAATTTTCTAAAAATAATGTAACATTAAATTGTGTTAAATTTTGTTGTTTCTCAATATTAGGTCATTATTTTTTATCGGCTTTCAATATGACGTTTAACTATAAATCTTTTTTTTTTGTCGTTTATATTTTGAAATAAATGTTTTAAATAGTTTTTGACAATATTTTTAACCATTAATCATAAAACTTATTTTTATATCATAACGTTTGTGTCTGTGTATGTAAATTATTTATTCATTAAAGTCATAAATTTTTTAGCATTTTTTGTTTGTTTGTTTAAATATTCTTTAATAAATCATGAAATAGTTGAAATAGTTATTATTAAAATTATAATGTTATGCAACGAAATTAAAACAAAATATATAAATTAGAGCTTTTAAAACATAAAATATGCAATAAAGATAATTTTGCAGATAATTAATTAATTATGTTTGAATAAAAATTTATTATACAGATTATTATATATTGTATATACAGTTACTTGTTATTTACAGAATACCAGTAAATTATATGATAGTATTAAATTTTTAGTAAAAATTAGCAATAGATTTATCTATAAATAATATTAATGATTTAATGGATATTTTAGATTAAAATTAATTAATTAGAAATTTAAAGTCAGTAAAATTAATTGTCATATTAAGAATTACCGGTAATTTTTTTTAGTTAGAAAATTGATATCATTTTCCTGTCCTAATAAGTTCTCAACAATCAGTGCTTAAACTTTCATTTAAAAAATAAAATATTTTTAATGAGATATTAAGTCATTTGTATAATATATTTTTGATTTTAATAAATATGTAATTTTATTAATAAAATAGTAATTTATAAACCATTAATTAATATTAGGGTCAGTTTTTTTCATTCATAATTTTACTGTCTTTTTAATATTCAGACCATATAATAAAATATTAATCAAAAACTTTTATATCAAAATAGATTTAGATTTAAGGTCATTAAATCCCATATGATTTCCAAATTTACATAAAATAAATATCCACTATAATAATAATAAATTTATTATTATTATTATTAATAGCACGTGTTAATTGTATATAAAAAACTTTTTATTATATCATTAAAGTTTTTAAAATCAATAAATGTATAATTAAAAAATACAATGTATAAAATTTGCATTACAAAAAAAATATAAATTACAATAACAATCGCATTTATTATACAGTAAAAAATTATTTATATCAAAGTAAATATATATTCACAAGCATATAATTTTATATAAAAAAATTATGATATATTATAAAAGCTATTATATAGCAAAAGTTACATAAAAAGTAAAATATTGTATCAAATAATTGTCAATTAAATTAAATAATAAATATCAATAATTGATAAAATAATATTACCATAAATACATGTCTATTATTATAAGTGATTATATGAGATCAATATAAGGCAGTTAATCGTAAATATAATTTAATTTAAAATAATGACTTTTTAATATAAATACCAAACGCTACACAACCCATAATAGCGCATACAGTTATGGCCAGCTTAGGTACATATGATCCTAATACCACTTCCTATTAAATAATGGACATTATGTTTCAATTATCATATCAATCATATTTAAGACAATATTTTCAACAAAAAACATACCCAACCGCCTTGTCTCTGAACCCAACGACATATATTGTTAAATATATAGTTCAATGACCATTGAATTAGGCGCCGAAAATAATCAATAGGTCCGCTTCGGAAGGCATTGATGGCTAAATCCGAACAAAAGAAGAAAAGAACGACAATTCTTTCACGATTTATGGTTCCGTTGAGAAATAGTTCACTTAATAGCGTATCAAACTCTTCACGACTCAGATCTCTAAGGTTTATCTGTTTGTCAACTCATGAGAGGTTAGTAATGAAAAAAAAAACAAACACTACATCAATACATACCCGCAAAGCCCTGTCCCTGACCTCAGCTCTTTCTGAACTTCGGGCAAACGCTTCAGATATTCGTCGCAAATCGCGTCCAACGGATGACATCAGTGGACTCGATATTTGATAACTTGAACTGATTGGTGACACCAAACAAAAAGTTAGTGACAAATGTTTAAAAAATTTGATTAACAAATGATTGTCAATTACCTGAAAGACTCCAACTGTTGGTCAGTTTGTTCATCAATATTGATGCCCTCCTCAGTAAACTGTTCTCTTGTAAATTGTGTGAACAGTTGTGTGGCCACGGCTTCTGTCTCGTCAATCGATGGACTACATCGTTGTCCGGTTGATTCTTGCAAATCATCCGATTGTCCGCTGGTCGACGGCAAACGATGGCCACCAATCAAAAGTTGACACCCATTGCCACCATTCTTGTCTTCGATGAATCCAATAGCCATCAGTGTCTGTGTGTTATCAATACATTGACGGCTAAGACATTCAATGAATTGATGCGATGATTGAAAAATGTAATTAATTTAAACACTATTTTCAATTGATTATTAATCCATGTATTCATTGATTTTTTTTAATGACATTTAAAGTCAATCCAAATGTTTGATTCATTTAATACATTATAAGACAACAAATGATGAAATCGTTGTTTTGTTCGCCAAAATTCAGGAGTCATTCACCCAAACAAACATTGGCTCACAAAATGTGTGGCAAAACTAATACTAAACTATTAATACTAAAAGTGAGGATAAAAAGGACCAAATGTTGGAATAAAACTTTAATTATTTTAATATTCACTGAATTAGTCTTAAAAATTAATTAATTAAAAATATATTAATTATAAGTAGTATAAATTGATAACATTTTTAATTTAAGAAATTGTTATTTATTTATAAATAAAGTTTTCCAGTTTTATAGCAAACTTTTTTGTGTGTGTATATGATTTAGTCGATTCAATGCCTAAATATAGTATAATTTGAATGATACTGAAACAGTACGCTATTTTATATACCCTAAAAGTAAATTAAAAATAAAATAAAACTTTTTATTATTAAGTAATTGTTTTATAATTAATTAGCAAAATTTAGGAACAAATATTCAAGTTATTTTTATATGACAACAAAAATGTTTGTATGATAAATGCTAGTATAGCAGGTAATAAAAACAATTTGTATTAATTGCTATATATAATTAATAATTATATAATTTATAAAACAAATATCTAATAAGTTATATGTTTTGTCTAAAAATTGCTATTATTAATAAATATAGTTTTTTTTTATATCCAAATATATTTATTTTGTCTTAAAAAATTTATTTAATTAAATTAATAAAATAATTATTTGAATGAATTTTAATGCATTAATAACTTATAGTGTCATCTATTGGTTGCATATATATATGAAAATTTAGTGTTTAGTAGCGATTATCGATAGTATAGGTATAGATAGTATCGATTTGATTGTAACAAAAATTCTTTGTTTGAATGCATTGAATGCAAGCAAACATTGATATGAATTGTTATTTTGATTTTTATTGACACAAAATATGGCGATTCAGTGGTGAAAACAGTAATACTGTTAATACAACCAAACAATACGTATTGCAATTGTATGCTAAAGACTGACTTAAAACACACACACCGGGAGTTAATGTCAACCCGTGTGTGTCCTCTACCAGTGCTGGCCAATCGACCGACAAGTTGTTAGTATCAAATAGTTGCCGACATCTCGCGCGCGCTCACCGGTCGACACCCCAGACAACCACAACATAATAGAGAGTACGTATAGTAGTGGCGTCTATACGCCTGAAAGTGTGATAATATTTATGTGTATATATATGTGTGTGTGTGTCGGCCATCACTGTCGACTACCTGTGCTATACTATGATACTACTGGTGCTAACACTAGTGCCACACAATGACAAACCCTAATCATGAAAATCATTAGTTGTGACCGCAACTAATTTTCTCCCGACTCGGGTCAGTGCATTAGGTCTCTGTCTATTAGTGCCAATCAGTGACCATCACTTCACCAAAAGATTTTGTTTTCCAATCATTGTTTGTAATTATAATTGACTGTCAAAGTGATTGTCACCGCAAAGACAATCGTTTGTTTGTGTTATTGTTTTATTACTACCACTACATTGACAGTCAGTTTGAGTTTTCATTTATAATTATTATTTTTTTACTAACTATTAATCATTTAATTTACTCTATTGTTGGAAACTATTAAGTGTTTCATTAATTGTTATTTAATATTAATTGAGTCCAACACCGATAGCTTTACCGAAAATTATCAAAATTTGCCGCATATAGTGTATGTCTGTACTGATGGTCGTCGATATCACTCATAATAATTATTAACAACAAATTTTATGGACAGTTATCTAAATAAATCTATTTTTTTATTGTTAAAGGTTTTCACACAACTAGTGCTCTACTGAAGACAAAAATTTATGACTAATTAATATTTGATATAAACAACTGATTTAATGATTATTATTATTATTATGAATGTATTGATTATACATTGAAGAAGAAAAGTCAGTGATAATGTCGGAAACAGTAGAACAACCGCAAAACCAAACGACAGATGTCCAGTCGGACACCGGCGCCGAACAAATGGTCGGCTTAGTGCCCGTTCAGAGTGGCGATGAAAATGTCGGCATACAATTGATTGGCGCCGACGGTGAGGGCGATGAGACACTGTTTGGTACGCAAGCCATTGAACTGAATGGCGAGCGACATGTGATTGTATCGCAAGCTCAAGATCCGGAAACCGGAGAACTTCTTCTAGTATTAAGAGGAGAGAGCGGCGAACATATTGCCATTCAGGCCGAGACACTCACTAATATGGTTCAGGCGTCCGGCGGACAAAACATTCAAGTGGCTGTTGTCTCACAATCTGACGACACGGCGGCACTTGCATTGGTGTCCGAAGCTTCCGATATAAACGCAATCACCACTTCTGACACCATTTCCGAAGTGAGTCAAACGTTGACCGCTTTGCCAGCTGTTATAGCAAGCATTCCGATGAGTCCAACAGCGAGTCAATCGTTAACCACTGCTGAGACTAATGTGGTTCAGGCCATTGATACTCCTCGAGTATCTCAAGAGGAACAACAGACAACTTCTATAACAAATACCACAACAACTCTACCAAAACTGGATGAAGAGTTATTATCTACAGATTCTATAGATAAACCAAAAGTTGATAATTTATCGACTGATATACCAAAAGAAGTAATAGAAGAGAAAATTGAAGAAAAGATAGAAGAAAAAGAACAACAAAAACAACAACAAGAGCTAACAGAAACAATTAAATCAACAGAAGAAAAATTAGTTGAAGAAAAAAGTGAAGAAATTCCATCAACAGCTGCAACTGATGTCACCACTGAGTTATCAGAAGTAGTTAAGAATGATAAGCCTTTAGACGATAAAGTAGCCGAAGAACAAACAAAAACAGAAGAACCTTTGTCATCACAATCACAACCAATCGATGATAGTGTTAATGAAACTGCGGTTACCGAAGAACAGCCTAAAGTCGCCGCAGAAATAGTTGAAACTAAGGAAGAGGTTGAAGCAAAAGTAGAAGCAGAACAAGAATCTAAAGTAATAGAAGAGTCTAAAGAAGTAGTGGACAAATCAGATGTACAGCCAATTGTTGATGAATTACCAGTAACTGCATTGTCTACAGAATCTGAAGTTGTAAATACACCTGAAATCACATCAATTGTTGAGCCACAAGTTGAGACACCTAAGCCTCCAGAACCAGAAGTACCTGTTGTTGTTGTACCTGTCGAGGAGTCCAAAGAAGAGTCAAATATTGTTGAAATTAGTGAGAAAGAAAAGTTGGAAACAACCGAAACACCAATCGCTGAGGTGGTGTCTGTTGTTGATGAGAAACCACAAGAAACGATAAATACTGAAATAGTAACCGAAAAATTAACCGAATCGGTAACATCTGTTCCCGAAACGAATGTAACGGTTACCTCAGATATAGATACGATAACTGCAATACAGACTACTACTACAACAACTCCGATTGAATTGAGTTCTGAGCTAAACTTTGGCAATACAGCCGTAATTCAAGTACAAGATTCGGGAAATGGTACGTCACTCGACCAGATTATGGCCAACGCTGTACTCACTGCTGACGGCAATTATGTCCTAATGGCCCAAACCGATGATGGACAAGTTGCTGGTTTACCATCTGAGCTAAATCTTTCGGATATGATCAGTGCAGGCGGTGCTGGACAAACATTTTTAATTGAAACACCCGAAGGATTGGTTGCGTGTACGGCTGCGTCGGGTGAAGACGGAGGCATTCAATTAATTCAGACCGAAATGCCCAATATTGAGACTGCGACCAATTCGACTGAAAATCAACTCATTCAGGGTCTAAGTGGTGGCCAATCGATGTCATATACATATAACTCGACATCTGGTGTTCTCGAGATTACACCCGTTACTACTACTACGACTTCGGCGCCAACTCCGACACCGAAACCAACAAAAAGTCGATCAACCGGAAGTCGAACAACAAAGCCGAAAACAATACCTCCCGTCTCATCTGGTCAGACATTGCTTGTATCGACAGATACCGTACTGACCACATCGGTAACTGATAGTCCGACTGTGACCGCTAAGCCAACGACTTCGGCTTCATCTCGAAGTCGTGGAGGACAACGAGGATCTGGTGCTCAAAGAGGTGGTCGAGGAAGCGCTGCCAATACAGCTGTAAATTCACTTACAACACCAACTTCTGCAAATCAAATTAAATCCACTGCAAAGTCAAATGAACTAAAGTCAAACGCATCAGTAAACAGTTTGTCAACCATTACCGGTGCTCCCGGTCCCAGTCAATTGGCCGCATCGCGGCGAACATATAGCAAAAAATCTAATATAGTTTGGATTACACCCGACGCGTCTCACGGACCGGCAAACACACCATTTGCCTCAGTGGCAACCGCTTCACTTCAAACAGTAGCAAAATCATCGCCAATGATGACATCATTGAAGACACCGCCGACAAAATCTACAGCCCAACTATCATCTCAACAATCACGGCTCAGTTCGCCGTCAAAGATAACTGTTTCATCGTTGACGACAACTAGTTCGCCCAAATCGAATGTAAATCAGATATCATCCCAACAAACCCGAGCCGGTTCACCATCAAAGATAACTGTTTCATCTTTAACTACAACTGGTTCGTCCAAATCGATTGTTTCGACAACCGATTCGATCACTAAAACAGTAACGAAGACACCGTCAAGTGTCACCAAATCTATTACATCTGATCCTAAAGTTCAAACTACCACTACAGCTGTAACATTGGCGTCGACTACCGGTTCTCCTAAAGTGGCGACATCTAAAACAACAGCACAGCAATCGATCACATCTAAAGTCCAAACATCGAACTTAACAATCAAAAACAGTCCCCTGAAGACTAATACTGATACCAAAGTAACCGATAAGACTATTAAAGACAAGACAGAAAAATCAGATGAAGTTACAATCAAAAGTAGTTCCATGAAAAATGAAACAACAAAAACTACAATAAGAATGAGTGATATTCTTACGAATAAGCCTATGATGGCAACACCGCCACCTAAAGTTGTGGCCACCAAAACTGTTGTTACAGTTCCCGCGTCTTTGAGGGCAAAGACTACTGTTTCGAAATCACCGACAAAAACAATAACATCTACTCCAGTGTCAAACGACACGAAGGCTAAAGAAAAACTAACCGAACCTGTAGTGGAAAGTGTGGTTCCGAAGAGAACATCATCGCCAACAAAGACAGTTACGTCTACACCAGTTGTTTCCAACGACACTAAACCTAAAGAAAAAGCAACGGAACCAGTGGTGGAAAGTGTTAGCACAAGAAGGACATCATCGCCGACAAAGACAGTAACATCTACACCAGTGTTGAACGACACTAAACCTAAAGAAAAAGAAACAGAACAACCAGTAGTGGAAAGTGTGAGCACAAGAAGGACATCACGTGGAAGAGCTCCGAAAGAAATCAATAATGTTGTTGAGACTAAAACAGACAAAACGGAAATTCAAGAAACAGTTGCACTTTCATCTGACACCACTTCACACACACCAACACCAATAACAACACCAAAACCAGTACAAACACCATCTGGAAGAGTAACTCGCGGAAGAAGTGCTAAAACACCCGAACAAAAACCAATAGAAGTTGAAAAAACTAATACCGAAACTAAAACACCCGATAAAACAACTAAAGAAAAGACAACAGAAAAGATTGAAAAAACTGATGAATTGATTAATAAAAACAGTAGTAGTAGTGGTAGTACTCCAGCGAAGACTGAGACAACAAAAACTACAATAAAAATTAGTGACATTATTACTAATAAGACATCACTGCAGACATCTTCACCGAAAATTGTTGCCACCAAAACTGTAGTAACCGTTCCCGCAACTGTTCCAAAATCACCGACAAAAACAGTTACTTCTACTACTCCAGCGTTAAACGAAACGACGACGAAGACTAAAGAAAAAACTGTAGAACCAGTAGTGGAAAGTGTGGGCACAAGAAGGACATTACGTGGAAGAGCTTCAAAAGAGACCAGTAATGTTGTTGAGACTAAAACAGACAAAACAGAAATCCAAGGAACTGTTGCAATTCCATCTGATACAACTTCACAAACAGCACCAACAACTACAGCAACAACAACACCAGTCCAAACACCATCTGGGAGAGTAACTCGCGGAAGAAGTGCTAAAACACCCGAACAAAAGCCAAAGGAAGTCGAAAAAACTAATACCGAAACCAAAACACCCGATAAGACAAATAATACTAATAATAATAAAGAAAAGATTGAAAAAACTGATGAATTGGTGAAAATCACTATTAATTCTAAAGCTTCGGATGAATTCGATAGAATTATGGCACAGACTAAACCAGTTGAGGAAAAGGAAAAGACAGAGATTATCAAACCAGTTGTTGAGCCAATAGTTACTGAAACACCAACAGCTTCTACTCGTAAGAAGAGAGTTCAGTTTGATTTTAAAGAAAAAACTGACGATAAGCCTAACGAAGAGCAGACACCGACCACTGCATCTACACGAAGATCATTGAGATCGAGTACTTCTTCTACAACTACTCCTGTTATTAAAAAAGATGAAACAAACAAAACTGACATTAGTTTGAGCAATGATAAGGCACCGCAACGGTCATCGGGTAGAAAACGAAAAGAAGTAGTGGTCACTGATACCGCCGAACCAGAAGTGAAATTACCGAAAATTTTGAAGAAAGCAATTAAAAATGCCGACGAATCAGTTGCAATCACCAATAATAATTCGTTCGATGATTTTTCGTTTGTTCCACTAGGAAGTGGACGAGGAAGAGGCGGTGGTGGTGGCGGTAGAGGTAGAAAACGGGCGTTATATACACCCACTCGTCATAGTCTTGATATGAGCGATAGAAGCTATAGAAAGGAATCGTTAATACAATCATTTGTTGATGAAAAAGAATGGCAAGAAAAAGAAGACAATATGCGCCGCAAAACAATATCTTCATTATCGGATCTTCGCTCACCGAACGAATGTTTCGATTATGACACCAATGAATGTACTTTTTATATTCGACACCAATCGGTGTCAATGAATCCCAAACAAAGTGCCGGAAGTTATTTATGCCAGAAATGTGGTTTTCATACGACCAGAATCAACAATTTGGTGATTCATCACAGAGATCAGTGCTCTTATATAAAAAATGCAGTCATTGAACAGTGGCAGTCAGAGCTATTAAATAAAAGGGTCAAACCCACCACTACTACTACAGACACTACTGGTAGACTGTCCGCTGAATTGTCACCCACTCAGAGCAAACGCAAAAGAATTGACGACGACCTAACCAATTCACTTGATGAAGAATCTGCTACAGAAGATACTAATAATACTAATACAACTACTACTACCACCACAAAAGATGTACCCAATCAACAACGTATTAATATGGATGCGATGTTTTCGTCGGACGACGAGGACCTGCTCGCGATCGACAATATCGATAACATTAAGAAAGAGTTTGGATTTTCCGAGAACGACATCGTTTGGGTTGAGACTGAGGGCACACATTGGCCGGCATTGGTCTCGAAGATGTTTCCTAAAGAGAAAAAGACTTTAATCAAACTCATCGATAGTCCTATTAATAAAAAGAGGTAACATTTTGCAAGAAGTGTTAACAAAAATGATATTAATTTATAATTTGTTTTTAATTATAATTATTTTAGTTTAAAAATAAGCGTTACTTCGATCTCATTATTTGATAACTCGGATCTAAATAAAAAATATTTACGCGACGGTCGCAAAGCTAGTTATGGCGAACAACTGGTCAAAGCTGTCCAAAAATCTGAAGAGTTTTTGCGCAAAAAATGTTTGGGCAGTGAAGTGACTGCCGGCATGTTTTTTGATCAATTAGACAGTGATTTAAGTGAAACCAATGTCGATGACGACAACGATAGACTACCCAATAAAAAATCCACTGATCCATTGGGTCACCAGAAGACAAATGATGACAAAACTAACGAAGACAAATCTGAGACGGGTTTACCATCGATTGGTAGTAATGGCAATGATTTAGATACTTCAGATAATATCGATGATAATAGCGAATCGTGTGTTCTCTGGAAGGAAAAGCGCAGACAAGAGAATGCAAAACTTCTTCAGTGTATTAAAGACCAAAAAGTTGAAACACATTTGGTTGGAGTCTATAGAGAATCGATTCCTAGTGAACGACATACCAAATTCAAGAGCGGTTCCGAATCGGAGAAGAATCAATTAAAACATGTTCCCTGGTTTGGACCAATTGATGACGAGGAACAACAGGAAGAGATTTATGACTATTGTTCACAGCTTTTTAAAGCTAATTTTAAAACTGATCCCATTTTCGATACGGTTGCCTATATTTTTGAAGTCTGGGTGCCAGAGGTACAGACATTTTCTTTTTGTTGTATTTGTTAGTCATTTAATAATTTATGATTTATTTTTTTTTTACTTATTATTAGGCAATAGTTAAAGCCATAAGTCGTGTCCGGCGTATTGAACTCAAAGAATCCGAGTCAGTGTTTGCAAAGGGAGTCATATTAAGTAAATCGGAAAAAGACGAGTTGACTAAAGAGATACAAAAAGAAGCCGAAAAACAAATGACTTCACAACCAAATTCTGACTAAATTTTTTAAAAAGAAAAAAGATTTATATATATTATATATATTCGTATTTTTTTGTTTTTGTTTCATTAATCAGTGGCTTTATTTTGATTGACACATTATATTTCAATTATAGTTATAAAAAAAACAAATCATTTTCATCCGAGTTTTATTTTAGACGATACAAAAATAATAATAATAATAATAATTTTTTTGTCTGATTCTATATATATATATATTTGTAATCATTTTATTCAAACAATAATAACAAACAAAAATACAAACAAATCATTCATTACAAATCAATAATGATGTCATAAACAACAACAACAAAAACACATTTTTTAAAAAAATTGAATTTTAATTGAATGCATTGAATTTTAACAAAAAAAAAAAACAAATACTAACATTGGGTTTGATCCCAACAACAACAACAACAACAACCAAACCATTTGTAGGATTCCCACTGCGCTTACGGACATTAAACTTATAGCACACCTATTAATGCTTTTTTATAAACTTCTATATAAATATATAAATTAACACTGATTATATGATTTATATAATAATGATGATAATGAATATATATTTGTGAAATAATATCCAATGCATGCACACAAACAAAAAAATTAGTGAAAAATGCATTGTTTATATATTTGGGGGAAAAAATATTTTAAAAAATTGTTGAAATACTTGGATTATTATTATCGACGCGCGAAACCCTAATCCCAAATCTCAATTCATTGTATAGTAAAGTCTTCATTAATTATAAATTAATTAATATTTAGTAATTAGATTTGTATTCTATTTGTTTTAAATTATAGTAATAATAATTATTATTATTATATTTCTTGTGTTTTTAATTTTTAGCTCATTTTTTGTCAAAAAACAAAAATTGCCGACAATTATATTGCGACCACTTTTTAAAAATAAAACTTAAATATATATATTAAAAAAAATTAATTTGTATTCATTTTTTCCATTTATGTAATATACAGTATAATATGGTATTTAATATGTTTTTAAAAAATAGTATTTAACTTATAATGGATTTCATTTATCTTAAATTAAAAAAAAACTATAAAAAAAATTATATTTACCGATATTATTATTTTCTAATACAGTATAGTACAGTACATTTGGTTACGTATATGTAATAATTGCAACAAATTATTTCCATTATATTATAAAAGTAAATATAACTAATTAATTAATTTTTTATAGAGGTTTATATGATATACCATTAATTTGCTTTATTATACAAACCATTTGAATGGATATGATCTCAATTATTATTGTATACTTTATCCTATTTTTTTATCTTAACCATCAACTAGCCATACCTGCTATCTGTTCCGTACCAGTCATAAACTATATTTTTTATTAAATTTTAGTTTAAAACAATATGTTAGTCAAATAACACTCACATTTACACTGTTTCACTATCTTTATAATAGAGGTTTCGGTAATAATTAAAAAATTAATTTAAAAAATACATTGTTTTAACATTTTATTATAAATAAATAAATTGGGTCAAACATATACCCCTCCCATTGTCCCCCCTAACCATTGACCCAATCAATGATGTGGCATCATAGCTTTAATATCGATTGTCCATTGTTTTGTATGACCATTGTGTCCATTTGAAACACTCGACCATTTGATTGGATATCTGTGTCCGTTTTGGTCAGAATGTGATGACAGTCCAATAGCACCGGTATCTATCATATAGGCTATTAGCGGTAATTTTGAATAAAATGTAAATTATTACTTCAATTATTTTTCTAATTACCGATAATATGTATTATCATCTTTTATATTATTAACTATACTTAACCTTTATTATCATTATTACCATTGACTATCATAGTATCAATCGTCACAATTATTACTACAATTATGTTTAACAATTTGTTTGACATGTTTTTTAATAAATTTTAATAACAAATAAACATATGTGTGGTTTAATTTATATACATATATATATATATATATTTATTTATCGTATAATTTATATATGATGTTAATTAAAAATAATTTTTAATACTATAGTGTGTGTGATATATATATATATATATGAGAGAAAGAGAGAGAGAAAGAGAGAGAGAAAGAGAGAGAGAAAGAGAGAGTAAATAACATTATTTATAATTGAGTGCAAACTCTTTGAAGTCGTCATCAGTGAAGACAGATTTGTTGTGATCTTTTTGTTTTTTACCACTCTTTATCTTCTGTTTATTAACCAATAACTTCTTAACCAAATCATATTTGACACGATTTTCATGTAAATCTTTGTACATCTTTATAATTTTCATCTGTTTTTGTCTTTCATTGTTTGTCGTCTCTCTGGTCTTCTTTGGTTTATTTGTTGATAATTTTAGCAAATTTTTTTCGTCAACTTTCAGAAAAATAAGAAGAGATAACAAACAAAACAATTAATTTATCTGTCATTAAATGAATGAATGAAATCAACTGTGAATTACCATTTCGTTGTCTGTCTTTGCCTTTCAGTTTTATCTGTCGTTTTGTCTTTTTGTTGATACTTTTGAGATCAATATCATCTGTAAATGAAAACAATTTGAGACATTTGATTATTAACTGAAGATTATATGTGATATATCTGTAGATATTTTCTTACTTTCCAACAATTGCAACGACTTCTTGAGCAATATTTTGGACATAATTGACAATCAAAATCAATCGTTTGTTTTTTTTTTGTCATACAATTACAATCAATCACTTAATTGTTGTACAAATGCCGTAAAATTTGTCGATTAAGAGAAAGACTCGGAAAAACACAACTAGAAAAAGAAGAAGTGGTAAAAACAAACTGAAATTGTTTTGTCAGACATGTGTTTACTGAACAGTCAATCAATAAAAACAGTGTTTATTAAACACTTTCACTACAATACTGTATGTCTAGTGTTGGGCACCGGTATGTCTGTCACTGGTATTAATATGTCTGGTATGCCCTCTATATGACTACACCAGTAGTAGTAGTCATCCTCTTATGAATCATCTATTGTTGTGATTGTATTGTATTGTTGTTGTAGTTATCAATCAATTAATTTGTTTAGTGATGCCTTTGGGCGCCACCGTTGTTGCCGTGACAATGATGGCCAACCCGTGACCCGATCACTGGACCCGCCACTGACCACTTGAACTATCAGTGTGTCTTATATTCTGTGAAGAAGATATCCATCATCCAGTTATCTTGTGGTTGACATTGTTTTTTAATTAAAAGGTATAACTTGTCGTAATTATCACCCGATTTTGGATCAAATGTGAGTTCAATTATCTTCTGTTGAAAAGACGTTTTTTAAACTTTTTTTTGCACATAATTTTGATTTTTACTTTAATTTATTTTTTGTTTGTTTGAAATTATTTGATGTCATGAATTGATCCCAACATTTAAGTTGTCATGAATTGTATGTCGAAATATTTGCCATTACTTTACGTTTTTTTTAAAGAAAAGTTTTATTTTATGAAATCAATGGGTTTTTTAAGTTAATAACTAAATTATTTGCACACAAATGATATGCCATTTGAATAAATGAATGATTGATTGAATTTAAATAAATAAAATGTTTGAATGGAAATGATCGGCGAATCCATTGAAGAGCCAACACTTTTGGGATCCATTGGAAACAATGGATCCATTGATTGGCAAAAACGATGTATTGATTTGGAAATATCATTACAGCAATTGGCGTCGCATTCAAACAAAGTAAGACACGTCTTCGTCAACAAGATTGCAGATCTGGAGTGTCGTCTAAAAGAGGCCCTCAAGAAGGCCGAAGATTCTGAACACAAGTATTGCTCAATAATTGAATCGCTTCTGAATGAAAGCAATCGAAAACACAAAAAGAAGACAGAAATGGAAGAATCGACACCAGAATTGTCGCAATTGAAACACGCAATGGAAGAGAAAGAGAAAGTAATCAGCGATTTGGAGGTAAAGATTGAAGAACAGAAAAAACTGCGACTCAGAGATGCAAAACAAGTGGAAGAAAAGGCTACGAAAATCAAGGAATGGGTGTCACTTAAGCTGAAAGAATTGGAGGAACAAAACAATTGTCTTCGAAAGCAGAACAGGAAATGCAATGAAGAGTTACAGTTCTTTAAACAGCATTTACACACCGCTAGTCCCGAAACCCGACGCAAACTCGAGTTTGTTTTGAAACAATATTCGGATCAAAGTAGTATCAGTTATGCCAACAATAGATTATACGCGTATCATAACGGTTGGCATTATTAGTATTTTTTTAAAAGTATAAATCACTTTTTGATCCATTAATTCATTTAATGTTTATTTGAACTCTAATAGCAACTACATTCTCGACAAAAGAAGAATTCAAAGACAGACTATCGAAACGAGAATTATATTCCACAGAACGCGACACTAATTACTCGAATAACTCTTCAGATGACGAAGGCTTTAGTCATTCCGGTAGTCAACGGTTTAGTCGGTCGTCGCGACCACAGAAACCAATACCTCAGCCGAGAACCCGAATTCCTGTCGGAAAGAATGATTTGAGTTCATTAGATTTGAATCCATTGATCTGTTATGCCAGTCGTTCATCAAATTCTTTGACCTATTTTTCACGGGCCGGTAGTTTAGACAGAAAATTAGCTGATATGAAGAGATTGAATTTCAATGAACTGAAGAAAAAGAAGAATGTCTTCGCTGCCAATGAAGTACACGACTATTCAGATATCTATACGCCATCTAAGGAAGCAAAAGCTTTTCTTCTGAAAGATTTTGAATCATCAAATCAAAGACCGCCAACACCTCCACTACATCGTTGTCCATCGTGGGAGTCGCGTATCTATCAAATTGCAAGCACTGGTATCCCGAGTGCCAACTCAAACAATTCGACGCCAAATCATTCCATTCGTTTAGCGTCAAGAAATCCAAATAAATACCAACAAAATTATTCGCCGAAAACAATACTCAATGAATATAATGTACCGGTTTTTGCAACAGTTAAAGGAAGAGCTTCAAGAATCAGATCAATTCCTTTTACTGATGATTCGTCTGATTCATCCGATAATGAGACTGATGTACGCATAACTACCACAACTATTACAACGGGCACCACTTCTTCGAGTGGTCACGAAAGCGATCTTTTTGTAACTCCAGCGCACACTTTGAACAGAGATATAACAGTCAATTCCAATTTGTCCGAAGATTATGCTTTACCTCCCGATGCAGTCCTGTCCGCATCAATGGATGTCATTACACTGAACGACGCACCACCAGAAGTACGGGCTCCTAAAAGATTTAGTTCACTTCAGAGACCGACTTCTATTATTAGAGACGAGAAGCAGACGTTGAATGATATCTTTGAAAAGAGCGGTTATCTAACAAAATTAGGCGGAAGACTAAAAACATGGAGAAGACGTTGGTTTGTACTAAAAGACAATGTTCTTTCTTACTATAGAAGTCAAAGCGATGCCAATAAAGGTAAACCTCGAGGTCAGATACATCTGGAAAAGTCGTGTCGCATAACGACAACTAGAGATTCGGGAACATTTCAAATACATACCGGCAATAAAAAGAAAATATATTATCTCACATCAGATTCGATGATTACTCTCGAAGAATGGATAAGAATTTTAAATAGTGTTCTAAAAAGAAATGCTGTTTTCCATATCAATGACGACCAGAAGCCGACAATCGAAGGCTTTGTGACAAAAGTAAAATCCGGACATTCAAAGAGGTGTTGGTGTGCACTCTATGGCAGATATTTGTTTTATTTCAAGTCTCCAAACGATAAGATTCCCGTAAATAAAGTTGATTTGAAATCGGCAAAAGTCGAAGAAGTGGAAAACGTGTCCGACTCGGACAATGAGGACACAGAAGATCCATTAATTCAAAATCGACAAATTAATTATACTATTTCGATATTTCCGAAACATTCCGCAGAACCCATATATTTATTGCTGTCATCCAAACAAGATCTCAACGAATGGTTATACCATTTGACTGTTGCTGTTAGTGGCGAACACTGCGCTGGAACTCCATTCGAGCATTTGGTTTCACGACTGATGAAGGCTGAGGGCGAATGTGCCGAAACACTGGACAATCATTCCTTATGGAAGAATCCGTTGCTTTTGTATTCCAAAGAAAATATTTCAGAACCACTGACAACATTGCCAACCGATTATCTAAAGACCGAAGCCATCAAACTGTTTAAATCAATTCAGTTGTACACATCTGTTCCATTAAACTCTTCCGGTATCGACTATCACGTATCACTTGTTCAGAATTCTCTTCAGTTATGTCTGACACACAGTGAACTACAGAGCGAACTATTCTTTCAATTAATCAAACAATCGTCAAATCATTTCTGTAATAAGCTGTGCGGCAGTTCAGGAGTCCATCAGTTTTTATTATGCGCCACACAGACTATCTTCACATGTGATACATCCGGTACATGCAGTGAGAAGACATCGCCGACATCTATCAATGAATCAGCCGGTCCTTTATGCGGCAATATTCCCGACAAAAACAATCCATTGAATGTTATATTTATTCAAACATTTCAGTTGCTTTCGATCGCCATTTCACTCTTCACACCTCAAAGCAGAGCTCTTTGGTTTCTGAAACAACATTTGCGGCGAACAAGCGATACCGCGACTGATGTCGGAAAGTATGCCATTTATTGTCGCCGAGCACTCGATAGGACACTTAAGAACGGTCCGCGAGAGTTCGGTCCCTCGAGAATGGAAGTTCTTTCAATTCTATTGAGGAATCCCTACCATCATTCGCTTCCCCACTCGATTCCAGTCAATTTTGTTAACCGATCATATCATGTGGTTGGCTTCGATGGTTCGACAACTATCACCGAATTTTGTGATCTACTCAATAGCGAATTCGGCATTCGTGAGAACAGTCTTTCGGGTTACGCTCTCTATAGTGACGATCCGCTCGATAAAGATGTTGAACACCTGTTGGACTGTAAATCAAAGTTAGGGGACATTATCTCGCAATGGGAACGAATTCTTCGCGAGAATCATTTGGGACGTTTCGAAAACACAAAAGTTGTTAAATTGCTTTATAAACAACGATTATGTCTGAAAAGTTCCGTTAAGTCCGAAACCGAAAAGGAGAGACTTTTATCTGTTTACCAAATAAACAATCGGATAGTTTTCGGACGCTTTCCGGTAACTCAAGAATTGGCTCTCGAATTGTGTGCACTATTGGCTCAGATCGAGTTCGGCGACTTTGTGTCTGTTAGTCGACCGCAAATAATTCTACAACAAGTGATCGACTGGTTTTTCCCAATACATTTCAAAGAAGTAAATTTCATGAAAACTTTGATGGAATCTATTCGCGATAAATGGATGGAACTGAAGAGCAGATCAACTGTCGATTGTATACGAATTTATCTGAACTGTTCCCGAAAGTGGCCGTTTTGGGGATCGACATTATTCGAGGCCGAATTAGCGAAACCGGTTAAATTAGTCGATTCATACAATCCATTGCCAGCAGTCATGCAAAGTCATACAAAACTATGGATTGCCGTATCGGATGACTCGATGGCGCTCTTGGATTTTGAATCATTTCATTTGATTACTCGTTATTCGTACAAGAATTTGATGACATTTGGCGGCTGTAGACAAGATTTTATGCTTGTCTTCACATTGAAAGGTGCATCGCTTGAAACAGATTCCGGTTCGGGCACCGGCTCTGGTCACAGCTCACGAGCCGATAGTCACCGATCCGAACGATTGTTGTTTATGATGAATAAACAGAAGATCGTAGAGATAACACATCTGATAGCTGACTATATAAATAGTGATTCGTGTCTTAACGCTGTGTCCACTGTAGAGACACCGCACGAGACACTGGACTCATCATCAGCAGCGGACAAGTGTTGGACAGGGAGTACACTATTCTCAAGAATGCCTTCACTGAAAATGAGTTCCGCTGTATCTCATACTAAACTTTAGCTAATTTTAAGAATATTTTAATTATAAAGTATATATACATTTTACGGCTTTTTACTAATTAATTAATTTTTTATTTAAAGATTTTTTAATCTAAATCTATGTATTTAATAATAATAATAATATTAGTATTTTTATAATAATAATTATATAATTGCCAAACAATTAATGATAGCATTACTCGAGTCATGTATTTATTATATTATAAAAAAAAATATTTTTAAGATTTGTTCACACATTATATGCAAAATATTGCTAATTTTTACAATTTAAAAAAATCACTAAATGTTTTATATAAGCTTTAATAGTATCTTGCAAGTTTAAAAATTAAATTTATTATATTACTTAAAATTAATAAACAAATAAATTTAAATTTTTAAATAAATTTGAGATATTAAATATATTTTGGATGTTTTAATGAAATTTTAAATAATATAAAAATCTGTATTATTATTATTAGTACTATACTGTATTCTAGATATAAATAACAATTGAAATTAATTAAATTAATAAATATAAATAATAGATATAAACCTATAGATCAACATATCTTCAATACCCACCTATACTTAACCCAACCTAACATAACCTTAAAAAATAGAAATAAAATATTCAATCAAATTATTAATCATATGTTTTAAAAAAATATATTATTGTTTAATTGTATTCATGACAACACTAAATGCTTATAAATATTTTTAGCGTATAATTTAGTGAATCGTTTTTTTAATTAAAAAAAAATTCAATTATAAAACATTGTAAACGATTACAATGTATTGATTAATAAACAGCTAATAATTAAATACAGTATTATTAATACTAAATAAATTTATTATTGATATTATCAACTGTTGAGCGCATGCGTCGTACAGTTGTTATGACATATCATTGAAATAATATTGACATCAAATGTAAACATTGAGTGAACAGTCAGTCATCTGTCAGTTTAAGACACAAACAAAAATCATCGCATCATTGGATCAATTGGTCGGACGTCAAGAGACGCACAGACAGACATATCAAATGAATTGACAGATCAATCGCCGGACACAATGTCTTCAAATCCAGTGATGAACGGATTGGCTAATGATTGCGACTCATCATCAGCTGCAGCGATGACAACGAAGTCGGAACAATTGATGGCCAACAGCGGTATATATCACGAGAAACAATGCAAACAAATGTGTGCCAAACACGCGCTCAATAATCTTCTACAAGATGTCGACGCGTTTACTAAATCAGATTTGGATACCATTTGTCAAACGTATGATTAGTCAAAAATGACGAGTGAATTGTCTAACAAATTATTGCCATTTAATTAAACACAGATTATCTCCAAACACCCGATGGCTAAACCCGCACAAGTCGTCGCTAGGTTTAGGCAATTACGACATTAATGTCATTATATCTGCATTGCATACAAAACATTACGAGACCTTCTGGTTTGATAAACGCAAGTATGTCTTCCCGTTTAATCCGGTCGTCAATTATAACTGATTTTGATTTGAAATTCAATTTAGAGATCCCGAGTGTCTTGTATTGGATAATATCAAAGGATTCGTATTAAACATTCCGAATCCCATTTATAATTCATGTAAGAAGTGGACCACCAGTTCATTGTTTTCATTGCCAACCAGTTTGCTCTCATCGCGCAAACACTGGATCGCAATCAGGGCTTTTGGTCACCAATACTATAATCTTGACTCAAAACTCGATTGTCCGCAACTTATTGGAAATGTACGGTATTTGTAGACAATATCTAAGAAATTATAAATTTTAAACCTATTTTTTGTTTATTTCATTGTTAATCTAAAAGGAAAGTCAATTAATAAATTATTTGCGAGAAAAAAACCGGTGCAACGATACGGAAATTTTTGTAATCGTTAGTCAATTAATTGCTGAAACTGAAGCTTGGATTCGTCAACAATATGAAGAATAATTATTATTATTATAAAAACAAATTGATTGATAGATTTGATTACTCGATATATAAAGACATAATATGTATATACAGTGTTTGTGTGTGTTGTGAACAAGTATTATCAATGAAAGTTTTTGTGGAAAATTTATTGACAAATATCAAGTGCCTTGAAATGTATGAACTTTATTTTACCAAAAAAATCACTTTTTTAACAAAACAAAAAAAAAAGATCATTATTATTATTATTAACACAAATGGTAAATTCAATGATTGCTTAAAAAAAATTTCATGAAATTTGTTTGTTTTTTGAGTACAACTTATACACATTATATAAATATATATAAAATAAATTAAATTTATGATATTATACTAATAAAAAATTATATAAATTATATACAAACAATACTGTAATATAAATTAATTACAAATCATTCCTCCTTTTTTTTTATGAAGTCTAGTCAACATACATATTGTTTGTTTCTTATATTTAAATAATAAAAAAAACTTGAAATAAAAAATTTAAAATCAACTAAAATATAAATATATATACTGTATATATGTATTTAAATAAAAAAAAATTTGATAAAACTAATATAAAAATTTTACTTAAAAGTTTGTTTGGTCACCACTCAAACTTATCGGCCACTCTTATAATCCCATGTAATGGTGCTCTTGAGGCGGATCATTGGTACTGAAATTCAAATGAGTCTCAGATCGGGAACGGCCTTGACTTTGGACGAACCGTTCACTATATATACAATTACGGTAATTATCAATAAAATCAATGATATATAAGTATTTATGTAAGACAACAACAAACCTGAGGAATGGTAAAACAGCGATGAGGTGTTGTTTATCAGTAATATTATTATGTTGTGTTTGGAGTGCATTAATCAGATTTCTCAGATAGTTTTCCAGTCGTTTACGTCTTTCCTGAACCACTTTCGAGTCTTTATTTCCGATAGTCTTTTTGGGCGGAAAGTCAAATGTATTGAGAATTTGAATCTTTTTGCGAAGAGATTTGTGTAAACTATGAAATTGTGAATAACGTCTGTAGACATTCCATTCTTCTTCTTTAATTCGGACATAGATTTGGTAAATATGATGTGATTTGCTTTTTTGGCCGCCGGCCAGAAATACCGTCGGTATCCAGATATGTATGAGCGGACTAATTGTCGATTGTATTGACAGATCAGTTTCGAAATCAGATGAAACGCTTATCAGATCTTCGGTCACTTCGTTAACTTCCGGCAACTTTTTTAAAAAAAGCAATTTCAGAGAAATTGTCAAAAAATATAATAATGACTATTGTATTGCACTTAAAGCTCAGTTACTTTCGAGTACCTACTCATCAATTCATTAACTTTTATATTTAAGTCAATGGAATACTTTACCGTAATATTAATTAATTTAAATTTAGTATTTATTATTTACTATATATCCTAATAATTAATTGTTTTCAAACTTAGTCTTAATTAAAAACTAAACTTAATTATTATAAATACAAATTAATAATTATTTCTGTAATAAATAATGATAACAAAATTGAACAAGGATAAAATAGAAAAACATTAGTAATTCATAGATTCGTATATAACTTATACTATAATATTATAATATAATATAAGTCAATCTACTTTAGTATTCATATAAATTATAATATACTCTTTAATTAATATAGCTTAATTTTAAATTGACTTTAATCATAATTATTGTTCAACATTAATTGACAAATAAAAATTGATAAAATTAATTTCATACTCTCATTAAATTTATTATTAATAAAAATATAGAAAATTCATAACTATCACCAATCAATCGCTCTTTAAATTAATATACATTTTTAATTTCATGAGTATATAAGGGAAATATTGATATGAGATAACAGTGCAAATAGTATTTGATGTGTAATGTAATTAAATTAAAAGCTGTTGTGTAAATGATTTATAAACTACACCAAAAATACCGGTAAATAAAAAACTTTTGTAATACACTTACCGGTCCTCTTAAGTGAACCAATTCATCCTTAAGTCTGGCTATGAGTGCATCCTTTTGTGCGATAACCCGATGCAAGTGTTGATTAAACTCAACCAACTCTGCGTGCATTTCTGCCACTTCGACCAATTTCTTCTCGTATTCATTGATCTCATTATAGTAACTCTGGTTTTGCGACTCAAACGCTTTACTTTCTTCAAATGATTGTCCAATAGCACCGGTATTAGTATTATTATCAATGATAACATCCTGACCCGTATTGCCCGAGTATTTTAATAGTTGAACGGCTGCTATATATTTATTGAGCTGTACTTGTAGTAAATCATTGTCTTTATTTAGACTATCGTTTTGAGCCATCAATTTGGACACCTTTTCCTCAAACATCTCTTTCATACACTGATTCTCGGCTCTCAATCTCTCTAATTCATCCTTATCTGCATTTGATTCGACATTTGTCTCTTGACTCGACTCTATCTTTGATTCTTGATTTTCATTCAGACTTAATTTGTCTGAATCACAGACACTGGTGTTATCGACAATCAATTCTAAAGTATTGTTAACATTCTCAGCGCCCAATGGTGTCAATACGACATTCCTATCAGCCGATTGTGAGATAAGTGATGAACAGTTACCCGTCATATAAGTGGATGACATTTGTCTGTCGGAAAATATAGAGTCCGGCGATGAAAGACAAGTGGTTGGAGCGCTTCGGGCAGCATTCAAGTGGTCCATCTGGTCATTATCATCATCACTCAATGATATCACATTAACTTTATGTCTGCGTCTTCTAATCCCTGGAATTGTTTCCGATTTACAAAGAACTGGTAACGGATCAGATCGACTGTTCTTCTCGATAATTTTACTATCGTAATCAAACTCTGCGTTGTCTATATTGATTGCAAACAATATAGAGTTCAGTCCGCGTGAAATGGTAGGCAAAACAGAATTAATATCTTCGTCTCTCATGAAAGCATTTTCCTCATAGAAATCATTGCGAAGAGTCGTTGAATCGGTCAATAATGTTAAGACATAGCGCTCTAATGAATGCTCATTCAATGAACTTCTTAGCCAAGCCTTTCCTCGACCAAAGTCTACAAAGATTAAGACATTTAATACAATTTTCAAAACATTTATTAAAAATCAATACAATTGTATACCTGTCCTAACATTCCTCAGCAGTCGGTATCGATCAAACTCGTGTCGAGTCAGATGAAGACTTACAAAATGCCAAAAACAGACAACTGTTTCATGAGATTCTCCAAAGCCTTGTGTGGCACTAGTACTACGGGTTACGCCATTAATACCGGATTTACTGTCGAGAGAGAAGACAATAGTCATACAATTTAATCATGAATTTGATCGACGAGAAGACAGAAAACAAAACAAAAAGATAAACAAACCGTTTGTAATGAATTAGATTACGATTACGTCTTAGTCTGTGTGTTAGAGCCGACTCAAGTGATTCGCACAGTTCTACCACTCGAGTATCCATATCGGTGGCCAACTCGGATCGGCCGCCGAATCTGGTCTGACACTAATAAAACGCAGCAAAAAAACAAAACAATTATCATTTATTAATTCATATATATTTTCTTAGCCATAATCAGTCTTCATATATATGTCTCACTTGTTTGACTGAATCCAACAGACGTTTAACAATTGCCTGTTTCTCGTCGTTGACACCACTGGTGGCCATTGCATTAACCGATCAACCGATGTGTCTATATATCGGGGACAACACCGTATAGTTGTCTATATGTTAGACCAACATATTGTTTGGACACAAAAACTATATGACAAACGGGTTTTCGTAAAAATATTAAAACTTTTGGATCCGATCGCCACTTATTGTTGCTTTTAGTCCAACAAAAGAGGCGTTAAATTTCCACTGAATTTATATAATAAATGAATCGCTTTTCACAAAACAATGAATGAAAACATTTATTATATTTTTAATTTAAAGCAAAATGTTTTGCTTTAATATTATTATATTTTATATGTTTGTTATGTTAAGAGCACTGATTGATTGATTGAACTCAATATACTGTAGAAACAAAACATATGATATGAATGCAGTGTATATAATGTGATATACAATGAGTTTATTTATACGTAAATTACAGTACGTATAGTAAAATACGATATATTTTTATATAACGTTTTGTGTTTCATTCAATACATTTACAAACAGTCGTTCAATACGTGTATAGCATTTATTATAGTAATTTTATTTATGAAATAAAATATATATTTAATATTATTTAGGCTCTTATAGTCTATAAAAAAATAATTACTTTATTATAATAATAATAATAATAATAATATCAAATGAATTATTAATTGTCAATATCTGTGCATTTAATATAGTTTTGACAATCAATTTATTGGAAATTTTTTATTTGAAAACATAAATCATTTTTATGTATTGATTATAAAAGTTTTATTTTGTGTTTTTACAATATATTCAGTATTAATATTACAGTACTTTTAGAGTACTTTTTTCTCATTACAGTAAATGTTACGCTTTTTTATTTAAATACTGTATTAATGTATTGGTTTTAACATAAGATATCATATGTTTAGTTGTTTTGATTGACATTAAAAGTCTTGCGATAAAACCTTGCGATAAAACAGTTGTAAAATTGATTAATAATAAGATCTAATTAATTATTTGACAATAAATTTTTTATACAATAATTGTTTAATATTTGTCACAAAAAAAACATTATGTTTCGGTCAACAAAATTATTAAATCATTTGCAAAAAGAGACTAAACTTTTGGCAAATCGTTTCTCAACTGGTGGTCAGTTATACAACACCGCCGCCAACGATGTGGTCATTGTATCAGTTGCGAGGACACCGATTGGATCGTTTAGGAGTTCACTGTCACCATTAAGTGCACCACAATTGGGTGCCATTGCCATCAGGGGTGCCATCGATAGGGCCGGAATCAAGAATGAAGGTTTTTCATCAATAATTTTGTTTTATTGAAATAATTGGCAACAAATTTGATAAATTTTGTGGTAATCTTTTTTTTGTAGATATTGGCGAAGTAATGATGGGTAATGTGATGCAATCGGCTCTAAGACAGGCCCCGACACGACAGGCCGCGTTAGGCGCCGGATTGCCCAACACTATCGTTACGACAACTATTAATAAAGTTTGCGCGTCGGGAATGAAGGCCATTATGTTGTCGGCGCAGACACTTATGTGTGGTCATCAGGAAGTGATGATTGCCGGCGGAATGGAGAGTATGTCAAATGTGCCATTTTATATGAAAAGAGGTGACACACCATACGGTGGAGTCAAACTTGAAGACGGTATTGTCTACGATGGCCTAACAGACGCATACAAACTAATACATATGGGTAACTGTGCGGAAAATACGGCCAAAAAGTTGGGAATTAGCCGCCAACAGCAGGACGAGTTTGCTATCAATAGTTACAAACGAAGCGCCAATTCGGCGGCTAATGGCGTGTTGGCCAAAGAGATTGTTTCCGTCACTATTGCTGGTAAAAAGGGTGCAAAAGACACTATTGTATCCGAAGATGAAGAGTTCAAAAGAGTCAATTTCGACAAGTTTTCCACTTTGCCTACAGTTTTTCAAAGAGACGGCGGAACTGTAACGGCCGCCAACGCCAGTACATTGAATGACGGCGCGGCCGCCACTCTACTCATGACTAGAAAATTATGTGACAAATTAAATTTAAAACCATTGGCCAGAATCGTAGGTTTTGCCGACGCGGCTGTCGATCCGATTGACTTTCCAATAGCACCTGCATATGCCATACCGAAAATACTCAGCAAATTTAATATCAAGAAAGAAGATATCGCTATGTGGGAGATAAATGAAGCCTTCAGTGCTGTGGTCATTGCAAACACTCAAATGTTGGACATCGACCCGACCAAAGTCAACGTTAATGGCGGTGCAGTTAGTGTTGGGCACCCGTTGGGAATGTCCGGCGCCCGTATCGTCAACAACATGGCGCTGCACCTTAAGCCGGGACAGTACGGAATGGCAGCCATTTGTAATGGAGGTGGCGGTGCATCAGCTCTTCTAATTGAAAAACTGTAAGAATCTTTGGGCTAACCCTTTATGGCATTTGTTGTTATGAAATGATTTTTTTACAAAAGTGTTTTTATTTAGTCTATATTTTTTATACTCGTTTTTTTATTATTATTAATAAATAAATTCATTATTGATTATAAATTTATATACACAGTAATGATCATCCGATTGATTCATCTCTACCATTGTTAACATTATTTACTAAGAAAGAGTGTACTCTTTGCGATGAAGTTAAACATCAATTGAAGCCATTCCTCAATAGAGTTCAATATTTAGAAATTGATATCAAAGATAAAACTAATGAGAAATGGTTTTCAAAATATAGATATGAAATCCCAGTAATTCATTTGAATAACAAGTTTTTATTTAAAAATAGAGACATAGATATGAATTTATTGGACAAAAAATTACAAGATTTTGAGTCTAATTAAAATGAATTTTTAAATACTCTAATAATTAGATTAACATTTCATTCAAATTAATTTTTAAATTACCGTAATTTTTAAAAAAATTTAATCCAATGCAATGATATCACATTTCAATGATGTAGTATTCAATAGTACGCAAACCATTTTGTCTTCAAATTTGGGAACAGATATAAGCAATACTTTCTTACCGTTTGGTGCATCAAATGATCCGGTATTGAACTCTTTCTGATTGCCAGCAAAATAGACATCGGGATAGTTGGTTATGACAAACGGATCGGTAGTATTGAATGGATAGCTTAACATAGTGTCGGGACAGGTGGGCGCCAAGTGAAGCCATTCCATGGTTTTTCTCATGATTTCAATCGAATCATTCATTTTAGTGTACTCTCGAATTGAGTTGATATTCTGGCCCGAAGTGCCCAATAATTCAATGCCATTGTATTCGGCTAAATGCGGATTTGTTACACATTTGACTGATGACAGTGAAAATGCTTTCTTGAAAATACATGGATGAAGTGGCTGTTGTGGCCAAAATTGTGTCGTCGGATCCAGTGATCCGGGCATAAAATCAATGGGAATGAATTGTCCCAAACGGGCCAGAAATGCATCGAACAGTGCGATGGCGTGTAGTGTCTGAGCCCTGATCTTCTGGTTCCAGAGCGGAAGTTTCTTATCCAACTCATTGTCTACCTCTTGTTTTCGGGCGTCCGTACCGATGGCATTGCCGGCAATTATAAGCCGTGCGATTGACTTGTTTTTGGCAAATTCTGAATTTCCTTTCAATATATCGATCATAATATTCAACGCTTTGGTTAAACTTTGGTTATCTTTCATGAACTTTGAAAATCCCAGACCAGAAACCAGTGCTATGTATTGATCTTTAGGTGCAATAGGTTTGTCAATTGTCATCTGTTCGCTCCAAATACTCGCATAACAAACATCTTCGACGAGAAACGCTGACCGACTCTCGTCTTCGACACCTTTCAGTGCCACACAAATACCGGTGCAATGGTTGTGTACATCCAATCTTAATACTTCGATAGTCTCGTTGTCTGATTGTAACCAAAGCGTGTCTTCATCAGAGATGTATTTCTCGGGTAACGGTTGGCCCAAAACCGGATTGTCATCACTAATCTCTTTGAGAATTGACGGCTGATTCGTGGCCTTCTTGAACAATACACCAAAAATTATCACCTTATCGTTGGCCGCCTGTTGTTCACTCCTTTCAGCCAAATTTTGTAGACTTAATATATTGACATCGGATCCCCATTTGTGGTCAACAGTGTCTTTGATAAAATTCTTCATCTGTTCGCGTCTTGAATTGTAATACGGATAGTATTGTGTATCGAAGTTATGATCTTTGATAATAAATCGGTCATTCTTGTAGACCACCGGACATTTGGCCATATTTTCTTCAATTATTTTCATCTATAGTTTAACAAATTGGGATCAAATTCAAGACAATAAACTAACCAAACAATTGACCACAACTTTTGGCGCCTTTCGTATGGATGTTGTCTTCTCTCATATGGATATTGTTTGCACTGTTCATACATTACATGACAATACTGTACAGGTATTACATAATACAGTATAAGTGTTGAGATAAATATTTCAAGTGTCACTAAAAAGCACATTAAAAAATTTAAAAAAAATATTTATATCAAAAAACATAAAATCCAATATTTTTTGCTATTATATTAATATTTGTAAATTAATTATCAGTTTATTTATATATTTAGCAATTTTATTGTATTAATAAATTTCTAATAATACATGACATTTACAATCAAAATATTACGATATTTGTGTACATTTGAGATATCAATGAATGTGTGAATGAATAAAGTAATGGTTTTCTATAGTAATAGACATTTAAATGCATTGATTGTATTGAATATACTTTAATACACTGTATATGACATATGTATGTAATGTATAATCTATTATAATATATGATATGAATATACAGTACTTATATCTATCAGCGAAACATCACATCACAGACACAGACAGACAAACACATACATCGCTGACTTCAACCACAAGAAGTATTAACCAAATAAACTAAACAACAAAACAATCGCCAAAATTAAACTCAAAGACAAGTGATTAATTGATCCATTAATTGATTGATAGCCATGTATTCGGTATCCAAAGAACATAAGGGAAATAAAATCTTCGCCAAAACGAGAAGAGGTTTATTATTGGGTTTTTTGTTTGTTTTTGATCCGGTTTTTTAAAAATTCTTGTTTTTGTTTAGGTATACCACAAAAGTTGGACAATTTAGACAACAATTCACGCGACAACACCAACAATGGCTTCCGTAAAGACATGAACGGTCTTCATATGAATGATTGTCTTAGGTTTGTATTATTATTATTATTATTGCCATTGGTTTGCATCATCTAATTAGTTGTTTTAATGCTATTTTTATCTGATCCTAAATTTTGATCACCAATTGGATGTATGGATGCCTTCACCAAAAAAATATAGTCAAACGCCAAGTCCGCGGCCAGTATTTCATATGAACGGCCGCAAGACATACCATCAGAGAAATAGTAACGAAAGTATTAGTGCTCAGCACTGGGAGATGATTCAGTACATACATGAAAGTTAGTATACAATTAGTATCCAATTAATCCAATTGCATTTAATTGCATTTAATTTGGTTTATAATATTTACATTTTATATGATATTTTTAGCTTTATTTGCATTTAAATATATTTAATTTTTATTTACTGAATAATTTATTTTTATTTTTTTAAATTGACATCAATATTTTTTTTTTATAAAAATCCGATTATTGATTTAAGTTATAAATAATTAATTTTATTTAAACTTAAATATTAAATATTAAATATTTAGTAATACTAAATTAGTATCATTTAATTGATTTATTCTTTGTAATTTATAATTTTGATAAACTGTTTATTTAACACTACATTTAATTTTACACTATAATCTACATTTCATATACTTTAAATGTGTCTATTATTTAAATCAACATTAAATAACACATATAATTAAACGATTGTTTATTATTACGTTATATGATATAACTTATATCCCGACAACAACTTTATCTTTAAGTTTTAGTCTAATATCTATTTAAATATATATATATATAATTTTTATAATTTGGTTTACCATTAAAAATCAACAATAATTATTAGTTATGACAAATATGTGTTTGAAAACCAGATAAACGACTTCTTTATGATACAAATATGTATAGAAAGAGAGAGAGAGAGACTTTTTTGTTTGAGGTCATCGATAGTACTGTATAACAAAAATCATTAATTTATTTTCAATATTATATTGATTAAGTGAGTGGGAAACCAAAAAAAAGAAGATAATATCATTATTATCAATAGTAATACCAGACATATATCTTATATATATATTAATATATATATAAATCTTCAATTAGTACCAGATTTCACTTTTTAAATATGATAGTAGTTTAAGCAATTGAAAATGTTTATATTTAAAAAAAATCCGTTAATATCGGTTTTTAGTATAAAAGATATCAAAACTAATTTATAAATTAAAACTATTTTTGAAAAAATAAACAAAAATTTTATATATACTATGTATATACTGATTACGGTAAATTAATGAATATTTAATAATTTTCATAACATAATCTAAATTATATCATTATTACCGTAAATTACTTTTCAATTAAATAAAAGGTTGGAAATGTGTTAAAAGAGATTTGGAGTCAAGTCTTAGACATTCAATGGTTGGTGGAAGTGGTGGCGGCGGCGACCATAGCAAGAGCTCAAGCATGAAACCAGTGCCTCAAATATCTTATTACAAGCTCGACAAGTCATCTCATATTCCAAGTATTGGATGAATTATTTTTATTATTTGTTACCATTGATTATAACAATTGATTATATTTTATTACAGAGTTTGAACCCTTTGATCTCGAGACCTTTTGGGGACAAAGACTTTTCCAAAATATAACTCAATCCACTTAAATATTGCCAACATTTTTGTCTGTCTCTCTTTGCGTGTGTGGTGTGTGTGTGTGTATGTTAGTGGTGTCTGATTGTTGTCGTCGCGACATAATTATAAGATCATCAGTGGATACTTCTTGGAGACTCAATTCAGACTTCAATGTGTTCTGAAAATTAGTTTTTTGAAATTTTTATTTTTTTTGTTTGTTTAGTTTTTTTGGATGAATTCCTCTAATTCTCTCTCTCTCTCTCTCTCTCTCTCTCTCTCTCTCTCTCTCTCTCTCTCTCTCTCTCTCTCTCTCTATTTCTATCTCTTATATATTATATATATATATATACATTATATAATTATTAAGATTATAAAATAGTCAATTCATTCCACACATTAACTAATTAAATACAAAAAACAATTATTTTCATTTATTATAAAAATTATAATACGATTAATCTATTAATTGTATTAAAATTTATTTGTTTATTTTAAATTGTAGAGTATTTTTAAAAAATTATATTATTTAAATTATTTTTCATATTTTTTAGCATTTAAGATTTTATTGTGAAAAATTTATAGTACAATTAAATTTGTGTAATAACATTAAGTTTTTTGATACCAATAAGTAATTGGGATATATATAAACTTATAAACTATGTTCCCAAATCTTAGTTATATTTAGGAGGTTTGCATTTTATGAAAATCAATTGAAATTTGTTTTTGATTTTAAATTTAGATTTTTGTATAGTTATTTAATACATGTAAATAATATAAATGATATAAATCAATTTTCAATAAAATCATTGTTCAAAAATTTAATTATAAAAACCATTTTGTATGTACATTATTTCACGTATTGATAAAATAAAAAAAACAATTAACAATATTGTAAAATATGTTATTTCCATTAAAAAAAATAATAAATGCCATTAAACTATACTTTTCATTAACTTATATTTTTAATGTTTTTTATTGTTTTGTTTATTACAAACTATTGTTGCTATTATAGGTAATAAATATAAATAAATTTTTACATTTAGATTACATTCATTTAGTAAATACATTATACAGAACTGTATAATACATACATATTTATAATGTATTTGTTGTAAAAAAAATAAAAAATATTAATCATTTTATTGTATTTAACTTTAACTAATTTCTATTCAATTGCCGGTACATATTATATAACAACATTGTATTATTAAACTTGAAAAATGATTTTATAGTATTTATAATATTTATATATAAACTTGAAAATCAAATGCGGGTTTTTGAGAGTACCGTTTAAAAAAAGTGTCATTCAATTGATGCCAATAACACGTTTTCAAAAAAAGTTGTTATATAACGAGGGCTTTCTCTTTAAACTACAGGTATAACTTATACCGTATAAGTAATAGTTATTATTGAAAATTGTTTTTAAAAAGTTTATTTAACTATTACTTGTACTCATTTTTTCTCCAAAGAAGTCAAAAAGGATTTCACATATAAATTAGATCTTATTATATACCAATTGATAGATATTTTAAAGAAAACACTATATATATATATAATACTAGTCACACAGGTTAACAGTTTAGTAGTAGTAATAATAATAATAATACTAGTAATACCTGTTAGACTAGTTAACCGTTATGCCGAAAAAAAATTAAATAACAACATTATAAAAGTTTTGGCTATTTTTATATATATGTGTGTTAGTAATGTCAGTGATGAGATACAAGTTATATATACAGTAAATATTTAATAATAATATGATAATACTATTTGTAATGTCATAGGAATATATTTAAATATTAATCAATCGCTAAATTTGCTATAAATATTAAAAATATATATATATATATAAATATAAGTATCAAACATTGATTTTTTGGTGGTGCAGTATTTTTTAAATGCTGTTAACAAATGTAAGTTTTTTAATATAATTTTTTTGAAATATATATTTTGAAAGTAAAGTGTTTTGTTTTATATAAAAAAAATTTCAACAAAAAAATATTGATACATCATCGCTAACCTAATCATAATAACTAATCATCACATATAGTATGGTTGAAACAAATGAAACGGATTCAACTAAAACAATGAAGTTTATCGGAGCCATAACTTTGCTGATATTATTAGGTAAATATTTCAAATATCAATATATATTTAAAAATTTATTAAAATAGTATTTTATATTATTAGGCAAATATCAAATTTAGTTAAATGCTAATTAGTTTTCAAGTAGTTTTAAATTAGTTTTGAATTAGTTTTAAATTAGTATTGAATATAGTTTTTTTCAGTTCAAAATTATTAGCTCTAATTTAAGCTAATTTGGTGCTCAAAGAAATCCATTTTATTGATTATTAAAATATTTGTTTTATTCTTATTTATTTAATTTAATTTATTTTTATGTATTTATTTTATAAAAAGTTGTGACCGCTTTTTCAATAGCATTGGCACAATATCAGACAGAAACGGTATGTATCATAAAATTTTTGTTTTTTACCTCTAAATTAAACCCAATTATCTTAGATAACACATGTCTAAACATAATTAACATGATAATGCAATATCTATATTTTATTAAATAATAGTAGACTAGTTGTATGGCATATAATTATATTAATCAATTGTATGCTATATTCATATATTATTATTTTAGATAATATTTATATAGCTATTAAACCTCATTTTAAGGATGATAAAAAATTGTTTAAAATTATTTTTAGCTAAAATAGAGATATTTTTTATAGTTTAGTTTTTTTTTTGTGTGTATGTATATATTGATATGTAAAGTTACTATGTCCATGTGAAACTAGCCCGGGGCTTATTTATCATTAGTCCATAATTTTAGTGATGCTAAAAATACAAGTTCACTCAATTTGCTATTAGAGACAATTAAATGATAAAAAAACTATGCGATTATATTTAGGTTATTATGAATCTCTCTCTCTCTCTCTCACTTGACGTGTGTGTCTATGTCTGTGAATAAGTGTGTTTGAAAATTTTGTTAAGCTTTTAAATTGTTACTTTTCAAATGTTTTTAAGTACTCATGAAAGTATCATTATTAAATTTATTATTATCATTATTAAATAAAACAATTTAGTTTTCTATATATAAATACAAGTATGTTATGTAATTTTATATTATTAAATCATACAGTAGTAAATTATATATATAAATATATATAAAATATTTTTTTTTACTATATTTAGTTTATATATATATTAAATTTACTACTGTATGATATAATAATAATATAAAATTTGATACCAATAGTAATTGACAGCTCACATAAATAGATTGATTAATTAAATAAATATATTATTGAAAAAGAAAATTAAATCATTGGCAAATAAATTATTATTTTCTATATATAATTATTTTATGTATTTATTTAAAAAATAAATGTAACACATATTTGCCTAAAAAATAAAATCTAGGATTTCGATCAATTTTCTGACGATTTTTCCATAAAACGAATTAATAAAAATGTAGAAAATTTACGAAAGTCTGACTATAAAAGTAGTTCAGAAAAAGCATTAATAGATGAAATGGATGACCAAGAAGTGGCAAACACTGGACTCATCAGTGAGTCGTCGAGTCATAGAAAAGATGTTAGTCTAACAAAATCAATGAGTCTTAAACTGGATAAGTCAGTGACGACCAACAAACCGAAAGTAGTTCCGGTAAAGGTTAACACAATTAAACTTAGAAGGACTACAACAACAACATCAACCACAACAACAGCAGCTCCTCCTTCAACAACCAAAAAAACTAGTAAACCGACGACAACTACAAGAAAGTCAAACACAAACAAAAAGAAACAACAGTCTAGAAAGTCGTCAAACAAATCGTCAAAGTCGTCAAAATCAGCAACAAAAACATCGACAACAACTACGACAACAACAGCATCTCCGGCAACAATTAGTTCATCAGAATTAGAAAGTATTAAATCAAAGATTAGGAAAAAAGAGTTGGAATTCCTATTGAATAAAGTGGAAGCGCTTAGTAAACAACAATTACATTCAGATGATAGTTCAGACTTATTAATGGAAAACTCTTATCAGGAAAAGACATACAAAAAGCCGAACATTGAGTTCATTCCGTTTAACAAAGATATGTCAGATAGTAGTCATAATTATGATTCAAAACATAGCTATGATGTCCAACAAAATACCGATAACTCCAATAAAGACAGTAATCCAGTACCCGAATGGCCACCAATGCCTCATTTTCTCCCCCCTCTACCACCTCCGCCACCATTATGGCCATTACCACCACCACCACCGCCGCCACTGCCTCTTCCACCTGTTATTGATCATAATGTACACAACAGTGCCAAAAGTCAACCGAAATTTAATTCAAATCAGACGCCATTTAAGCCAATGATATCCTCTTCATATAGAGAAACAGATTCCTTCAATCCAAGACCCGCACCAAACATGGGTCAGAGACCGGGCATTAGAAATAATGGTTTACCGCCGCCGCGAATATTTAACGGAGTGCTTCCCATTCCCAACAAACACGCGATTAAGCAAATAAATAATGGCGATCACCATATGTCGGGACAAGAATCACATCAAATGCCATATCGTGTTAAACCACGCGGTTATGCCGTACCGAAATCAGAAAAACCGGGCATACAATTGAGTTTTGGCGGCGGACCCATGGGTGGGGGCACTCAAGTAAAGACCAGTCCAATGGGTATATTCAAGACATTACTTCTTCCATTATTGCCAAAACCGCGGATGAATTTGAATGGAAAAGTCGTGTTTGGAGTGGTTCTGGAAAACGGCGTTGGATTTGGAAAAAAGCCTAAAATAGTAGCTCAACATTTCAGTACTGGCCATATATAGGACACATTCACACCATCATCACATCCATCAACTTCATGTGTTGTTTACTTGTTATTAGTTTAGACAATTAGGTGTCTCTAATTGTTTTTTATTAGTTTTTAATAGTACAGACAAATTTTTAGATGTGTATGATTTAAAAACTTAAATGTTATATAAGTTTAAAAAAATATATTTATATAAAAAATGCATCCAATTGTGTGCAATCCTCGCATTTCACATCCAAGTGATCATTACATATATGTGTGTGTTTTTCTTCAAAATATATATTTTTAATAATTAGTTCCCCGGGACAGTAGTGAACAATTTATATATACAGTATATAGCGCTCCGGTATGTAATCGATTTAGTGGTCCGATTAGTGATGGACTCATTGTTTTTGTTATATAATTCAATGGTTACACCGCACCTGTAATTTTCACACACACAACACCCGAGTGGCGGCTAAATATTAATGAGATGATTGTCCGCTAAAAATATATCACTACAACACTTGACAACAAACATAAGCGACCATTAAATTAAATTCAATGTTATTTGCATTTCGGCCCAATTTCTTGACTTTAGATGTTAATTATGTGATAATTTATTATTATTTTATTATTATTATAAAATATTAAATATATATAAAATTATATATAAATATTTTTACAAATCTATGATTACCAAAAATAGGTACGACTACTACTACTACTACTACTATACAGGTATAGTAGTATAATAGCATTAGACTTATAATAAAACGACGACCTAATAACTCCTCAAAAAACACAAAAATTAAACATAAATTTCCCTTATTTTAAATGTAAATTAAATAATATGTCATAAATTTTTCAAATAAATTTGAATAATTTTTGTTGGTATTTTTGATAAATACAAATTTGCTTAAAATTTTTTAAAATAGATTTTTAAATCGCAAATAAATAAACTTTTTAATTAAATATTAATATTTGTTTAAAATATTGTGATAGTTTGAGGTTATTTTTATGGGGATTTAGTAGTATTTTATGTATTATTATTATTATTGCAAAAAAAAGAGAGAAACTATATAAATAAATTTATTATTCAAATAATATTTACTGTATTTACTCAATACATATATTTATTGATTGTATGTATGTATACATAATTTTTTAATAAAATATTAAATAAAGTTAATAATCGCTTAAATATCTAGAAATATAATATATATATATATATATGTAGTTAAACCTCTTGGCTAAAAAATTTCTAATAATCATTGATTACATTAAACACATTAAATTACATGTATTTGTAACAATCGTTGCAATTATATATTAATTAATTTATATAAATAATCAAATTGCAGGTCAGATTTAATTACTGTTATAGATATTAGTAATGTATGAGTTGATTAAAAAGTAAATTAATAAAATATATAATGTATTGAAATAAATCATTTAAGCATATAATAATATATACAGTATATAAATATATTATATTATAAATATACTTAATAGTATTGCTCTACTAGTCATACATTACATATAATTTAATTATACTTACTATTGATTGCAATAAGTTTTTATTATATTGTTAGAAGTAATTAATAAATTTCTAATTGCATTTAAATCACGAGATTTATTTAAATTTAAATTTTCAAATTAATTAACGTTTTTTAAATAAAAAATAACCGTCATTTTCGATGATAATTTTTAAGACATTTACCACAATAAGACATTTTATAAAAAAAATTTTTGACAGTAATTATATGAAAATAAATAAATAAAATATCATATTTAAAACAATTTTTTTGAAATAAAAGCTATTAAAAAATAAATGTATTGCAAATAATATCTTTTATATTATCTGCTGATAGTAGATCCATGGTCAAATATCAATGCAAATACATTTATAATATATAATATATTACTTATAATCATTGAGTTTGTTATCCATCTCTATAATCAACTTTTTCTTATTGATGAGCACTTCGTTTTCAAACAGTATATCTAATTCACTGTCAATGCAATTGATTTCCATTTCCATCAATTGATTTAAAAGTATTTTCTTTTCACTCTTACAAACATTTTCTTTAATTTCTTGTTTCAATTGATTTCGTTGAAACACTTTTGTCGCTTTAATTGAATTCAAAAGTTGCAGTTTTTCTTGACTGACAAACACTTCTAATGATAAGAGACGAGTCAGACATCCTTTGACGCGAAACGCTGTTTTGCCAAACCTTTTCTGATCGCATCTCATTCTGTCTGTTTGTCCAGATATCAGATCCACTGTTTTACGATAGTAGTCGTCATAGAGTTGTTGTATGGCTTCCGATGAGGTCAGGTATTGTGATTTAGCTTCTGTTATCTCAGCCAATGCCTCATTCTTGACTCTTTGTCCCACTTCTGAACTATTTATTAACTTTTCATTAGTTTTAATACAATTGTGGGCCAATTCTCTTAGTCTACGAAACGGTTGTAATTGAAAATTGTATAACTCTTCCAAAGCAATGATAACATTAGAAACAGCTTTATCTTCAACTGTATATATAGTATTCATCTCAAGAAGTGTCTCAACATTTGTTTTTAATTCAAAAACTTCGTTCAATTCATTCATAGCAGTGTTCAACAAATCCCGTCCAATATGTGTGTGGCCTGTCTTCGCACTCAAGTTGACATTACCGACGGTATACCCAAACAATTGATTATATATTTCTGTAAGAAGTGTCAAAGGTTTGTATCTATCATATGGTTTAACATAAGAGTCTATCCAATTGTCACCTAATATGTTGTCTACAGATATCAGCAACAAATGGGTCAATGGATTACTGCCGAACTCGAGTCTTCGCAATTGATGTCATTTTGTCTGAAGAAACTCAAATCACTTAATAAAGTAACTTATATTTAAGTCATTAATTTAAACCATTTAAGAGAAAATAATTTTTTATGTTAATTTGTTTGACAAAGAAATAAATTTTTTATTTAAATAAAATACAAATACAAAAATAATTTTTTTTAAAAAATATGATTTCTTGTGGTAGAGACTGTGTTAGAAACTTTGTTACTGATCAGCAATCATATCAACCAATTCTTTTGAAATCTCTGACACCTCATCAAAATTTTTCTTGACTTTTAAGTCCAGTTTGTCAGCCGATTCCGAGTGACTCCTGGCTTCTTGAAATGCGAGAAGACCTCTTTCTTCACATTTCTCTGCCATAATTCGTTCAGATTTACTTTGATTGACCAATATTTTTGTTTCTGCATTCAGTTCGTGAAGTCTTAGACGAAGATCGAGTAAGACTTCTTGGTCTTGAGGTTCAGCCATAGTTTATAATGCAAAAAAAATTTTGAAATGATTTGAATTCAACCGAAACTTCGCTTTTTATAGTAAGACAACAATAGATTTGATGTCTCGCACTCTGTCTTTTCGGTTTCCGATCGCTTTATGAACGGGTGATTCTAATAATTAATTTACAAAAATTAATTCAATTTTAGTTAACACTTTGGTTAGTACAGTAAATCATACAATTAGACTGTGAAGGTCAGCCCTTTCAGCCGGATTTTTGGTAAGACATCGATCGACATAGTCCTTGAAGTCTGCTGTGAATACAGATTTGGGAACAGTTGGTGGCGGCTCATTGACAATGTAGTCTAATAATTCAAATATCGATAGCCGCGGACCATCACCCGTGGCTCCGGAATTGTGTAGAATTGGGCTAAAATTGTTTGGTCTGAACTTTCCTATTGGACTCAAAGAGTGATAGCTTTGAGGCGGTGGACATATTTCGTTAGTTTCGGGCACATATTTGCTGCCGAATATTTGGGACAACTCTTTGGAATCGGGTGGCGGAACTGGATATCTTCCAATTGACATCTCTACCAATGAAAGACCTAAACTCCAGATGTCTGATTGAACTGTATAGTGATTTCCCTGAAGTCGTTCGGGCTTTCAGTTGAAAAAAGCACAAAAATATATTAAAAATTATTATCAATTGATGATAAATATAGGAAAATACAATATTTTAAACACATATATTTATATTAGACTAACCGACATATAAGATCGGGTGCCAACAAACGAATTGGCCATCGAGTCGATGAGCTGACCACTGACCCCGAAGTCACATATCTTAATCTCTCCGCGAGAGTTGACTAATATGTTCGAAGGCTTTACATCTTATGTGTCAATAATTATAGTATAATTTTTTTTTTAATTTATATAATTTTAGTTCACTAATAATTAATCCAAACCTCTATGCATTATCTGATGCTTTTCGCGCAAATAGTTAAGGCCTTTGATGACAGCTATGGTAACCTTTCCTAAGATCTGTTCTGGAATTCGGTTCGCTTTCTTCAGCAACAAATCTAGAGATCCGCCGTCCTATTCAATAGATCCAGAAAGAGAGAGAGAGAGAGAGAGAGAGAGAGAGTTGTGTCAGCTCAAGTGTTAATTATTTTTTTAAAACACAACTTAATTACCATATATTCCATACAGATATTGATCTCTCCTTCACTATAGAAGGCTCCATAAAAGCCGACGATATGCGGGGAATTGCATTCGTGAAGAACTTTTAATTCACGTATTATTTGACTTCTTATGGCTGGCTTTACCTCCAAATGGATCAACTGATGATAAGAGCAACAATCTATTAAATTCTATGATTATGGGTAAATAAGATTTGATTCAAACAAACTTTTCGGGCCATAATCAGACCACTGGGTCGGTGAATAACTTTGGTGACGACACCTCCATTACCGGCGCCTAATTCGCCTAAATTGTCAAAGTCTTCGGCGTTAAGTTCGAAAGAGTCAAAGAGAGAGAGAGAGAGAGAGTGGGTTAGATAATAAGTAGGTGAAAGTGAGTGAGTAGCTAAATCTACTTTTACAATCTAGTTTTATTTGTAATTTTTGTTAAAATAAAAAATATATTACTTTTTTAATCACTTAAATAAAATGGGAATAAACCAGTTATTATTATTATTATTATTATTCATATTCTTAATACAAATTATTTAAATAAAAAAATAAAGATAATAATTGAATTACAATAATAAACATTTATAATTTTAATATATTAATCAATGATCAGGTCTTCAAGCATTTCTTGTAGAGTAATCTTCGGCGCGTCGTCTTCTAGTTCGTCCACATCGACAGCCATTGCTGACTCCAATTTCTCTTTGTCTGCATATATGTTAATATTCTGTCGAAGCATCGGATCTTCTTCCAGATCCTCCATGAAGTCCATGTACTCCCTGTTGACAGTACTTCCATCAGATCTGCTATCGATATCAATGCGTCTGAGTTTCCATTCGCGTCGTCTATTTCTTGAAACTTTGTCACCGAAATACTTCTTAACAATTATAACATCCGGTATTTTATTTGCATTACTTCTTTCGTATTTCTCAAAGTTTTGTTCGTTTATATTCGCACCGTTGAAATCAAATCCCAGACACAAGTCTCCCGGTTTGAGAAGATGTCCTAAATGTGTTCGCGTATGCTTCTGATTGTCGCTACCGATCTCACTGGACCTGACCAGCCATATGTCAGCTAAAACATGCTATAAATATACAGTTAATAGAAAATTAGATAAATATTTCAAAACTTTTCGATAAATAATTTATAAGACATACTCTATCTGAACGACGACCAACCGGTACTTTAATATTTTCATCTCTAATGATATCGCTGTCCATAACTGTATATTCGGTCAACTGTTTGCAGCCACAGATCGAACGAAACGGGTTTCGGAAATAGTTTTGTGCCGTCAATTCAAAGGCTATTTAAAAGAAATAATAACCATTAATGACAAAATTTTTAATATATCACTAATAATAATGATTTACTTCTCAGAGTAAACGGATCCAACAAATAGACTAAATTTGTAACGCGAAGAACAATACAAATCTGTCCGATATTACCGATACTTTGGGCAGTTTGTAATGGAAGACAAACGATATCATCCTTACAGATGGGAACTATTTCAACGGCAAACGTATACTTATAATTATAGGTATTGTTATGCGTGTCGTGTGATATCAATTGCTGCGATGTTTGATAGCGGGCGGGAACTGTTGTCACCAGAAAATCAACCAATTTCTTGGCGTCATCTTTCTTGTCGAAGAAGAAATCAATGCCGCCATCGATGGCCTTAATATTAACACATTTGTCGTGCGCTTTGTGTTTAATCAACAATTGTTCCAAATAGAAGAACGTCTTCTTGTGAGTAGCCTTTTGTCTCACCTGAACGACTGCTCGCCAAAAGTCTTTGGCCTCTCGTCGATGACAATCATCACACATATGTCCGTTGACCACATACTCGACAACAAATGTCTGCTGTAAAATGGCGCCACCCATCACCTCCTTTTGAACCGTCAGTTTAATCTTAATGCGCTTTGAATGCGGTTCAGTCCACACAAACGTCGCGTCCACCAAATTAACCTAAAAATAATCTTAAATGACTTAAATGATTGATTCAAATATAAGTTACTTTATTAAGTGATTTGAGTTTCTTCAGACAAAATGACATCAATTGCGAAGACTCGAGTTCGGCAGTAATCCATTGACCCATTTGTTGCTGATATCTGTCGGCAACATATTAGATAACAATTGGATAGACTCTTATGTTAAACGATATGATAGATACAAACCTTTGACACTTCTTACAGAAATATATAATCAATTGTTTGGGTATACCGTCGGTAATGTCGACTTGAGTGCGAAGACAGGCCACACACATATTGGACGGGTTAGCAGTTATAGTTGTTCCGCACTGACAACACAATCTGTGAGATAAACCACAAAATAATAGGTAAATCTATGCCATCAAACAAATTGGTGATAATGTTTACATACATTGTCGCTGCGGTATCGGCGACGGCGGCCGACGTGTTATCCAAATACTCCATAATTTCGGTCAATGTTTTCGTTCAACAAACACGTGTTGGTTATAAAATCAATTGTAAAATCAACACTTAATAGATGGCGCTTATAATGTGTAATGTAATTGAAAGTTAATAATTTAATTGATATTTACTTTAATAACTAAATTATTTAATAATTAATTTTATTTTGAATTATTAATTATTAAATAGTATATTGAAAATTGAGGAATAATTTACTAATAATTAATAAACAAATAATATTATTAAAAATAGTTTTATTATTAATGTTTTTAATAGATTCTTATTTTAATAACATTACAATAACTTTTAATAAGTTTCATTAATTTAATCCTAAATAATTTTTTATATATTTATTAATTATGTTAAAATAATTGAGAGATCAAAACTAAAATATTGATAATCAATGATTATTAATCACTTATAATACTATACTAAATCAACAGTGATTTATTTATTTGTTTATTTATTTTAAACGATATAACTTTAATTTGTAATTATTTTATTTTATAAATCACACAAAAGTGATTATTTTTTAAGTATATATTCATATAATGTAATACTGTATCTATTTAATAGTTTATTATTATGATATAATAATTATTACTGATTTTCAAATTACAATTACATTTTACTTATAGATTTGTAACAAAAAACATACAAAAATACAAATTCAAAGTTTTTAAATTTTAAAAACTATTTTACTTTTCAAAAACATTTGTTATTTTCATAACTTGTTTACAAAATATAATACAAACCAATAGTTTGTTGACTCGTAAGTCGTGACGCAATCAATGATAATACAAACGCAATGACTGTCAACACAAACAATGGATGACTATTGCGGTGATAATAACAGTGACGACACCATCGATGGTCAACAACAACAATATCATAGTCTTGATGGTTGGGTAGCCTTTAAGGCAGACCTCTTTGCCAATGATCCGACACAACGAACACAAAGACTACGCTTTTTAGTTGCCGTCAATCACTTGGAGGATACCATTGGCATCACTTGTCTGGAAGACACCCGACGGGCTACAGATAAGAGAAACAAATCAATGGCTGTATCGCTCAGGTATTAATACCATTGATCATAGATATGATATCAATAGATGACTAAATAATAAATGATTACTTATACTTCAGTGCTGACCAATTAGTAAACATCAATAAGCAGTTATCGCTAATCCGTCCGCCACTCGACCACTATTTTGAACCGATTGGACAACTGATCCAAAGTCGCGACGAATCGAACTCGAGGTTATATACATTGATTATGGGTTTCATGGGTTACATAGGTTTCGGGTAAATCTTGAATATAAATCAACTGTTTTTCAATAGCTATGACTAACCAATGTTTCGGATATAAGTTAATAATAGATTGAATATATATCTTGAGATTACTTTAACTTTTACTTATTCTTTGCTTAATTATATTTATTAACTATTTTATAATAATTTTTGAATTATTATTTTTATTGTTAAATGTTTTTCATTTTTATGAATAGTCATAAAGTAGAAGAACTAAAGGAAGAGATATGTGACAAAATTAGACAATATTTAGATATAGCGCTAACACTTTGTGGTCAAAAACTTTTGTTTACCATTTTATTTGACGTCGACTTTCTAAGTGATTATGAAGAAGACAATCAAGAGCTGAGACTAAAGGGTTACGAAAATTTGTTGAACACTGCTATGAATGAATTGAACGAAGTTTTTGAATTAAAAACAAATGTTGAGACACTTCTTGAGATGAATACTATATATACAGTTGAAGATAAAGCTGTTTCTAATGTTATCATTGCTTTGGAAGAGTTATACAATTTTCAATTACAACCGTTTCGTAGACTAAGAGAATTGGCCCACAATTGTATTAAAACTAATGAAAAGTTAATAAATAGTTCAGAAGTGGGACAAAGAGTCAAGAATGAGGCATTGGCTGAGATAACAGAAGCTAAATCACAATACCTGACCTCATCGGAAGCCATACAACAACTCTATGACGACTACTATCGTAAAACAGTGGATCTGATATCTGGACAAACAGACAGAATGAGATGCGATCAGAAAAGGTTTGGCAAAACAGCGTTTCGCGTCAAAGGATGTCTGACTCGTCTCTTATCATTAGAAGTGTTTGTCAGTCAAGAAAAACTGCAACTTTTGAATTCAATTAAAGCGACAAAAGTGTTTCAACGAAATCAATTGAAACAAGAAATTAAAGAAAATGTTTGTAAGAGTGAAAAGAAAATACTTTTAAATCAATTGATGGAAATGGAAATCAATTGCATTGACAGTGAATTAGATATACTGTTTGAAAACGAAGTGCTCATCAATAAGAAAAAGTTGATTATAGAGATGGATAACAAACTCAATGATTATAATGAAGAGTTTTTTGATACCGCAGAGGATGAGGAACAGCTTAAAACTATTAGTTTAATTCAAGAACCGAATAAAATATTGGATCACAAACTCATAGCATTTAATTCGGAACTCAAAGAGTTGTTTCAAAAGAGAGCTAATTTGAGAAGTAAAAGGAAATCATTGATTGCTAAAAGAGAAGCCAAACAATCAAATGAAGTCATTGTTAGAGTTAGTGATGAAAAACATAATAAATTTCAACACAAAAGTAATGTCAAGATATCGGTAAACAAAGACAACGAACAAAAGTTTAATGAAATGAGAAGAAAAACTTTGGAAAGACTTCGGAATTATAAATTGAAAGCATTGCTCACAGAAGCCAAAGATAATGATAATAATGACGAAGAAGAACAACAATCACTTCCGCCATATCCTATGGACACTGGTTTGCGGGCCAAATGTCAGACATTGGATTTGCCACAACCGCCGACCGAAACTGAAATCTCTATCACTGAGGAAACGCCTAAATTTGCAGTTAATTTAGAAATTTACCCAAACTTACCAATACCTCCACCAACACCTATTCCGCCCGCTTTACTTCCCCCACCACCACCTCCTCCTCCTCCACCACTATCACTGTTTGCATCTCAAACAACATTTTCGAGACCTCTTTTAAAAAGTAATAACTCAAGAGTTGAACCGAAAACAGAAACAAATAAAATCGGATTAATTGATTTGAATGATATTTTAAGTGTAAGAAATAAACTTAAACCCACTTCACAGAGACAACAATCCAATGATATGAATGAAAACAAATCGATGGCAACATTGGAAGCAACACTGGGAGCGGCCCTTCAAAAGATGCGAATATCTATTAAAGGATCAGATGATTGTCATAATAATAACGATTCGGATTCTAATGATTTTGAAGACAACGATTTTGACAATTAGTTTACTTTTCAATATATATTTGTAGATTTACATATTAATTTTAATGTTTTAATAATATTTTAATTATGAAAAAAATTCTAATAAATATTAATTACCGGTAAATGATTTAAATAAAAAAATATTTAATTTTAGTGACGATTTGTTGTCTTTTATGTTATTTGAATTTGTATAACATGTATAACATTACACGTCCGCTATCAGACATCTCAGCAATTGATACAACACGACGCGTAATAAATATTGATAATACGATTAAATGGCAATTTTTACTTTAATCGTTTCAAATGTAAAAATTGTGAAAATTACATTTAAAATAAATGTCAATTTTTGCTTTAATTATTTCAAATATAAAAATATTGATAATTCAAATTAAAGTAAATGATAATTTTTGCTTTAATTATTTCAAATCTAAAAATAATGATAATTCGATTTAAAATAAATGTCAATTTTTGCTTTAATTATTTCAAATATAAAAATATTGATAATTCAAATTAAAGTAAATGATAATTTTTGCTTTAATTATTTCAAATCTAAAAATAATGATAATTCGATTTAAAGTAAATGATAATTTTTGCTTTAATTATTTCAAATATAAAAATATTGATAAATCGATTTAAAGTAAATGGTAATTTTTGCTTTAATTATTTCAAATATAAAAATATTGATAATTCGATTTAAAGTAAATGATAATTTTTGCTTTAATTATTTCAAATATAAAAATATTGATAATTCGATTTAAAGTAAATGATAATTTTTGCTTTAATTATTTCAAATATAAAAATATTGATAATTCGATTTAAAGTAAATGATAATTTTTGCTTTAATTATTTCAAATATAAAAATATTGATAATTCGATTTAAAGTAAATGATAATTTTTGCTTTAATTATTTCAAATATAAAAATATTGATAATTCGATTTAAAGTAAATGATAATTTTTGCTTTAATTATTTCAAATATAAAAATATTGATAATTCGATTTAAAGTAAATGATAATTTTTGCTTTAATTATTTCAAATATAAAAATATTGATAAATCGATTTAAAGTAAATGGTAATTTTTGCTTTAATTGGATGACTATTGCGGTGATAATAACAGTGACGACACCATCGATGGTCAACAACAACAATATCATAGTCTTGATGGTTGGGTAGCCTTTAAGGCAGACCTCTTTGCCAATGATCCGACACAACGAACACAAAGACTACGCTTTTTAGTTGCCGTCAATCACTTGGAGGATACCATTGGCATCACTTGTCTGGAAGACACCCGACGGGCTACAGATAAGAGAAACAAATCAATGGCTGTATCGCTCAGGTATTAATACCATTGATCATAGATATGATATCAATAGATGACTAAATAATAAATGATTACTTATACTTCAGTGCTGACCAATTAGTAAACATCAATAAGCAGTTATCGCTAATCCGTCCGCCACTCGACCACTATTTTGAACCGATTGGACAACTGATCCAAAGTCGCGACGAATCGAACTCGAGGTTATATACATTGATTATGGTTTCATGGGTTACATAGGTTTCGGGTAAATCTTGAATATAAATCAACTGTTTTTCAATAGCTATGACTAACCAATGTTTCGGATATAAGTTAATAATAGATTGAATATATATCTTGAGATTACTTTAACTTTTACTTATTCTTTGCTTAATTATATTTATTAACTATTTTATAATAATTTTTGAATTATTATTTTTATTGTTAAATGTTTTTCATTTTTATGAATAGTCATAAAGTAGAAGAACTAAAGGAAGAGATATGTGACAAAATTAGACAATATTTAGATATAGCGCTAACACTTTGTGGTCAAAAACTTTTGTTTACCATTTTATTTGACGTCGACTTTCTAAGTGATTATGAAGAAGACAATCAAGAGCTGAGACTAAAGGGTTACGAAAATTTGTTGAACACTGCTATGAATGAATTGAACGAAGTTTTTGAATTAAAAACAAATGTTGAGACACTTCTTGAGATGAATACTATATATACAGTTGAAGATAAAGCTGTTTCTAATGTTATCATTGCTTTGGAAGAGTTATACAATTTTCAATTACAACCGTTTCGTAGACTAAGAGAATTGGCCCACAATTGTATTAAAACTAATGAAAAGTTAATAAATAGTTCAGAAGTGGGACAAAGAGTCAAGAATGAGGCATTGGCTGAGATAACAGAAGCTAAATCACAATACCTGACCTCATCGGAAGCCATACAACAACTCTATGACGACTACTATCGTAAAACAGTGGATCTGATATCTGGACAAACAGACAGAATGAGATGCGATCAGAAAAGGTTTGGCAAAACAGCGTTTCGCGTCAAAGGATGTCTGACTCGTCTCTTATCATTAGAAGTGTTTGTCAGTCAAGAAAAACTGCAACTTTTGAATTCAATTAAAGCGACAAAAGTGTTTCAACGAAATCAATTGAAACAAGAAATTAAAGAAAATGTTTGTAAGAGTGAAAAGAAAATACTTTTAAATCAATTGATGGAAATGGAAATCAATTGCATTGACAGTGAATTAGATATACTGTTTGAAAACGAAGTGCTCATCAATAAGAAAAAGTTGATTATAGAGATGGATAACAAACTCAATGATTATAATGAAGAGTTTTTTGATACCGCAGAGGATGAGGAACAGCTTAAAACTATTAGTTTAATTCAAGAACCGAATAAAATATTGGATCACAAACTCATAGCATTTAATTCGGAACTCAAAGAGTTGTTTCAAAAGAGAGCTAATTTGAGAAGTAAAAGGAAATCATTGATTGCTAAAAGAGAAGCCAAACAATCAAATGAAGTCATTGTTAGAGTTAGTGATGAAAAACATAATAAATTTCAACACAAAAGTAATGTCAAGATATCGGTAAACAAAGACAACGAACAAAAGTTTAATGAAATGAGAAGAAAAACTTTGGAAAGACTTCGGAATTATAAATTGAAAGCATTGCTCACAGAAGCCAAAGATAATGATAATAATGACGAAGAAGAACAACAATCACTTCCGCCATATCCTATGGACACTGGTTTGCGGGCCAAATGTCAGACATTGGATTTGCCACAACCGCCGACCGAAACTGAAATCTCTATCACTGAGGAAACGCCTAAATTTGCAGTTAATTTAGAAATTTACCCAAACTTACCAATACCTCCACCAACACCTATTCCGCCCGCTTTACTTCCCCCACCACCACCTCCTCCTCCTCCACCACTATCACTGTTTGCATCTCAAACAACATTTTCGAGACCTCTTTTAAAAAGTAATAACTCAAGAGTTGAACCGAAAACAGAAACAAATAAAATCGGATTAATTGATTTGAATGATATTTTAAGTGTAAGAAATAAACTTAAACCCACTTCACAGAGACAACAATCCAATGATATGAATGAAAACAAATCGATGGCAACATTGGAAGCAACACTGGGAGCGGCCCTTCAAAAGATGCGAATATCTATTAAAGGATCAGATGATTGTCATAATAATAACGATTCGGATTCTAATGATTTTGAAGACAACGATTTTGACAATTAGTTTACTTTTCAATATATATTTGTAGATTTACATATTAATTTTAATGTTTTAATAATATTTTAATTATGAAAAAAATTCTAATAAATATTAATTACCGGTAAATGATTTAAATAAAAAAATATTTAATTTTAGTGACGATTTGTTGTCTTTTATGTTATTTGAATTTGTATAACATGTATAACATTACACGTCCGCTATCAGACATCTCAGCAATTGATACAACACGACGCGTAATAAATATTGATAATACGATTAAATGGCAATTTTTACTTTAATCGTTTCAAATCTAAAAATTGTGAAAATTACATTTAAAATAAATGTCAATTTTTGCTTTAATTATTTCAAATATAAGAATATTGATAATTCGATTTAAAGTAAATGATAATTTTTGCTTTAATTATTTCAAATCTAAAAATAATGATAATTCGATTTAAAGTAAATGRTAATTTTTGCTTTAATTATTTCAAATATAAAAATATTGATAAWTCGATTTAAAGTAAATGGTAATTTTTGCTTTAATTATTTCAAATATAAAAATATTGATAATTCGATTTAAAGTAAATGATAATTTTTGCTTTAATTATTTCAAATATAAAAATATTGATAATTCGATTTAAAGTAAATGRTAATTTTTGCTTTAATTATTTCAAATATAAAAATATTGATAATTCGATTTAAAGTAAATGATAATTTTTGCTTTAATTATTTCAAATATAAAAATATTGATAATTCGATTTAAAGTAAATGATAATTTTTGCTTTAATTATTTCAAATATAAAAATATTGATAATTCGATTTAAAGTAAATGATAATTTTAATTATTTCAAATATAAAAATATTGATAATTCGATTAATTATTTCAAATATAAAAATATTGATAATTCGATTTAAAGTAAATGATAATTTTTGCTTTAATTATTTCAAATCTAAAAATAATGATAATTCGATTTAAAGTAAATGATAATTTTTGCTTTAATTATTTCAAATATAAAAATATTGATAATTCGATTTAAAGTAAATGGTAATTTTTGCTTTAATTATTTCAAATATAAAAATATTGATAATTCGATTTAAAGTAAATGATAATTTTTGCTTTAATTATTTCAAATATAAAAATATTGATAATTCGATTTAAAGTAAATGATAATTTTTGCTTTAATTATTTCAAATATAAAAATATTGATAATTCGATTTAAAGTAAATGATAATTTTTGCTTTAATTATTTCAAATATAAAAATATTGATAATTCGATTTAAAGTAAATGGTAATTTTTGCTTTAATTATTTCAAATATAAAAATATTGATAATTCGATTTAAAGTAAATGGTAATTTTTGCTTTAATTATTTCAAATATAAAAATATTGATAATTCGATTTAAAGTAAATGGTAATTTTTGCTTTAATTATTTCAAATCTAAAAAATATAAAAATATTGATAATTCGATTTAAAGTAAATGGTAATTTTTGCTTTAATTATTTCAAATTTATTGATAATTCGATTTAAAGTAAATGGTAATTTTTGCTTTAATTATTTCAAATATAAAAATATTGATAATTCGATGTAAA